ATGAATAAATCAGTGAATTAAGAACTAATAAGATAAGTGAAGGCAATCTGAAGAGTTAACATAATTTAGCAAAGAAGTGTGAGTGGAAGGGTGGTCTAAGGATTACGTAATCCATCTTATCTGGGAACTAGCTGCATGAAATTGTCTAGTTCCATACTAATACTAACTTGATAATGGACGTAATCTGACAACGGAAAATATATAAGGCGGTTGTTTAATCTGTAAGGTTTTACGTGGAAGTCGCATTATTGTTTTATTTGACTCGTTGATTCCTCACAATGAACAACGATATAACGCTAAGTTCTAACGACAGTTCGTAACTAATACAGTAGTACAAATTCTTAATTTTCACACACAATTATTCGTTAAAGCGATTGGTAAACCTCTCCATGAAAGTATGAAGAAGACGAAAATAAAAAATGAGAAAACCTTTATTGATTTTTCATGACTACTAAAGTGGAAAGATAAGTTTACAAGTTGTATAAATAGTGGTATAAAATAAAGCCACAAAGAACTGTTAATCATAAACCTGCTGTCTAGCTGTTTATAATTCTTAAGTAAAAACTGTAGACTTTTCTCTCCACCTGATTCGCGAAGCGTTCACCATATTTCTCAACAATTTGTTGTTTGCACATTCTTTGTAGCCGTTGAAGTTGTATATATTCTTTACTCCGTCTCGGTAATGAAATTCCTGTGCTGTTTTGTAAATTGTGCGTATTGTCTAATTTCCATCTGCAGCAACACCTAAGAAGTTGATGAGCTATGCAGTTTATATTTTATAATTTAAATAGCTTACCTGTTAGATTTCGTCTTTTAATATATGCCAGCAGGAGATGGCGGCACGGATATCGACACATATTAAATGTGCTACAATTGCATTCACAAATACTTACATCTACTTCGTAATGTTGTCCGCGGTCAAGCATAAACAACCACTCGCCGCTTTCATATTCTAAGTTAACGAAACTCATTTTTTTAAGTTCGTATAACACTTTGGATCTTGCGAATGGGGTCAACATGTTCAGCAAGGGTATAAGACGCTGTGGAGCATCATAATTATAGGTTCGTCCACTGATTATTTGGTCTTCAATGCTTTTTCTAGAGAATGTCATTGAACTCCACTTAAAAGCCTTGTACATGCATTTGTGCAAGCTGTCGCTTTTGCGTACATCTTTTTATCTGCCTATTTAGTGACTCAACACGATTATTCGTGTTGTTACCCAAAGTTAATACATCGGCACGCTTTTCTTTTTGTGTCCATGCAAACATAACAGTTCGACCTCGACCCCAATTGTCTGTCACCACTAACTGGAATAATGAATATCTACATAGTAGAACAAAACGAAAATCATATTCACTTTTTATTATTAGTTTTATAAGTAGAATCAATACACACGACTTCGGGATATTGATTGTACAGCCGTATCTGATCATAACTGCTGAAGCATATCGCCGTAATACATTCACTTTCTGCATGCTCTCTAACTTCACCGTTTTGTCGCATTATCTGCAATACCTGCTTCCGAGTCCAACCTGAAATATATTTATATACACTTACCAGTGGAGAGTTCAGCTTTTATATTTTTGACATCAGCAGCGGTCACCTGCTTACCTGTTCTTTCCCTAATACATTCGATAACTTCGTCCGTCGACTGACAGTGCAATATAACTGGTTTCAAGTTTTCTTTTTCTTCTGATGACAATCGTCTACTCAACAGATCACAAACCATCCACGAACTAGTACACGGATGGTTGTGAGACATGTTGTAGGATTTTATAACGTATTGATGACCCTCCAATCTTACGCGAAACATCGATTGGCAATTTAAAAATTTAGACCTTAAATGTAACACATTAGTTAGAGTCCTCACGGTTTTTTATTCACATTCAGACCTTCTGATTTACGTTTACGACCAAACGTGCAACGAAACACTACGAAAAAGTATTTATATCTCACATCCTTCAACAATCTACTTTCTGCGTGAACATAGTGTGTATGGGTCATCTGAGAAAACATAGATTTATCCTATCATACTTTATGGAAATCCTTTAGCGCATTATCTAATTCAATCCAGCTTCCGAATCTCTTGTTCAGCATAATATGTTGGAACGCGTCGCTTACGTTCACTGAAATTTCACTTGAGCATGAAGCACTAGAGACAACATACAATAGTTATTAAAAAAAGGTTATTCCTTGAAAAAATTAACTGAAGGAAGAACAACAAATATTTAGGACTTACCCTTCAGTTGACATTTCGTCTTAACTCACAAAAACTATGCGCATCTATAACCTTTTACGTTATTTTATCTTTCTTACGTTGTTTTCTGGACCTTATTAACAAATTATATATAGCTGTTGACTTTCACTACAGCACTTAGGACCACAGATCAAGTTTCGAAGGAACAACAGAGCTAAAGTGTGCACTACAAAACAGAAAATACTCAGTTATTGCTCTTAGCAGTTGTTTAGTGTTTATTATGCATCAAAAGATGACTTATATATGGAAACATTTAATACTCATAGGACCCAACACACACACGGCAATTGAAACACGGAATGTCCGCTTCCAGTCAGCGCGTTCAAGGTCGTTGAAACGAAACGGCGGACAGATTTGAAAGGGATTACCGTTTTTACCTTGCCCATAAGATGTTTGTGAATAATCACTATCATTATTATGTTATGTTTCGTTAACAAATAGCTTGGCGCGCGTTTCAAAAAGTGCAGTGATTTTGTACTTGTGATTACCCCTGCTTTTGCGTCAAAAGCGTTCTTTGTTAACTTTATATTAAAGTACTTTTCTAAAGTTTGTCTTCTGGTACTCTTTCACCCATTGACTGACACGTGCGTTCATATCGTGGTCATATTGTGTTTTAAACCTTAACCTGAATACGGTAGTTGGTAGTAATCATAAATATGGACAACCAAACTGTTTGTTCCCTGTGGAGGAACGAATGCAATGTGATGAGTGTAAAAAGTGGTTCCATAAGGTGTGTACCCGTTTAAGTCTCACCACATACAAAAGATGCTCGAAGCCTAGCTCGCGTGGGCTTTGCATGTTTTGCTGTGCAAATAAGACGTCACTAATACAGAAGGCCAGGAGCCTATTGGCTTTGGCCCGTAAGAAGAACGATGGCGCATGCGCTGATAACACGAGCACTGCCAGTGACGATTGTGTCGGTGTAGTACGTGCTGTTACGAGACGCCTCAAACAACCGACTATGATTGATGGAAAAGTGATATCTCCGTTAAGATTAACGAATATTATTGTGAGCGAATCGCTGGAGTCAAACGACCCTGATCCGAAAATTAGACACGCTCATGAATTAGAGAAGCTAAGAGAATATGTTCGTAGTATCTTACTAGAAAACTGTAAAGAAGTTCAGGTAAAAAAACTGGTTAGAATATGTATATATATATATATATATATATATATATATATATATATATATATATATATATATATATATTATATTAACTAGAAGCATTAGTGGACACATTAAGGCTACTCATTCCAGCAGTGACAGAAACTTGGCCTAGTGATCCTGATGATATTCATCCTAGGACTATGAAAGCCATATCAAATGCAATTGCTGAACCATTAGCAATACTGTTTGACATGTCTCTGAGGCAGTCTAGACCGCCCAGAGTCTGGAAAGACGCTATAATAAGTCCGATGTATAAGGTTGGAAGTAGGAATTTAGTTAGTTACTATAGACCTGTTAGTTTTACTAGTGCGGCTGTGAAACTTATTGAAAAAATCATTCGGATATCTGTTACAAACTATGTTGAAGGGCATAATTTTTTCTCTAGGGAACAACATGGTTTTCGGAGAGGCTGATCATGCTTGACGAATCTCATCGCAGAAGATCGGAATATTCCTGTAGATGTGATCTTCATAGATCTAAGTAAGGCCTTCGATAAGGTTTCCCATTCTGGTCCTAAATTCAAACTGGAAAGTTTTGGAATCACTATACATTCGTAGATTGGATAAGTAACTTTCTCCATGACAGGAGACAAAGGGTTAGGGTAAATGGGGCTCTCTCCTCGTGGATACCTGTAAAAAGTGTAAAAGGTGCGATCCTCGGTCCTCTTTTCTTTTCACTCTATGTAAATGAATTACCAACTATAGCGAAATCATTTGTTCTACTCTTCGCTGATGACATAAAGATTTGGAGATTCATACACAGTATGTCGGATAGAACAATATTACAGGATGATCTTAGCTCATTAGTGGCAAGATGGACAGGTGGTCATCATAAGTGAATCCTAATAAGAGTGTGGTGATACAACTAAATAGCTATGATGATTCGTATCACTATACAATATGTGGATTCGTGCTACCCAAAGTAAGAAACTATAAAGATTTAGGAGTCATAATAAGCAGTGATCTCAAAACTACCAATCACTGTAAGGCTGCTGCTGCGAAAGGCTATAGGGTATTATGGTTTATTCGCAGGTCTTTCCAGTATTTAGATGATGAAATGCTTAGATTATTATACCCCATTCATGTGCGACCACATTTAGAATATTGAATTCACGTAGCGAGTCCTTGTTTCAAGTATGATATATACTGGAAAGAGTTCATCGACGAGGTACTAAGATGGTAAATGGTCTATCTGGACTATCTTATGAAGACAGACTGAGACACCTTAACTTTCTCTATCTTACCGTAGAATACGGGGTAATCTAATATCGGTTTATCGTATACTGAACGATGACCTTGGTATTACCATAACTTATCTTTTGCTTCCATCTAGAACTGATCATTTTAGAGAACATTCAAAGACAGTTCAAAAAACCGAGATAAATCGTTTACGTCTGGAGTTTCGTTTCTCGCACCAAGTTGTGAAATACTTGAATTCTCTACCGGAACACGTAATATCAGCACCTTCGGCTGATACATCCAAAACGAGATTAAACCTCCACAGTAATACAAACTGAAAGGAGTAATATCCTTATTACTGAAGACTGAAAACTGAACCATTTGGTTCATTTGAATCACTGTTTGACCTACAAAACCAGAGCGCATTTCGTTCGAGATTTATATTCATTTGGACTAGTCCTAAGCCTATAAATTCAGAGCGACTAGTTTTCGCTGAGATACAGATACTTTATTTTGCCACTGGTAAAACTAAGTAAGTATTAGTAAAGTGTAAGGTCAAATATGATCTCAAAATATGTGTGGCGGCTTATTTATTTTATGGTGTCCCACACCTTTCACGGGGACATATGTCATATGTTTACACTAAATAAACTTATATTTATAATTCAAATGCAAATTTAATTAGTATAACTACGGACAAATCTATTAATTTTGATTTACCGTAACTAGGCATTGATAACTGATTACATGGATTTTTCACGATGAGGTCATATGAGTTTGTCTTAACTAATGTGTAGTGTGGAGACTATTAATTTGAGTGCTCAAAATCTTAAGTTGCTTAAAATGACTTATCAGGTTTCAGCGTTTTAGCCCATCTCTTGTGGGACGTTCAGTTTTTTATTGTTTATGTGGCTGCGAATTTTCGTAATATGCAGCGGCTTTCGTTATTCATTCATAGTGATTCCAGGTTAACCACTCCTCTTTAAAAGGTCTCGAATTCCTAATTGGAATATCACGGAAGTATTACCTGTATACCTAGGCAGTCAAAATTTCAGGTTTGCTTTGTTAATGTTCATGTGTGGATAACACTGCATGTATTACTCTATCCAAGTTACTGTAATCTCAGTGGTTTGAGCTTGTATCACTGGATTTTTTAATCAATGAAACCCAGCTTACCGCATTGCTCTTTAAGCATTGTTCTTTCTTGCTACAGATATTTCTGTTGATGTCACTTTCATTTGAGACTTTGTACATGTCGTAAAAAGAGGTCACATTTTGTACCATAGTTTGTTTTAGTTAATATTTATTAAAGAGATTCCATTTTGAGTTGTTGAAGCAAATGATCGAAAATATTGTAGATTACTTACATTAAGATCCAAGAAGCAGCATCATTTTGCCGAATGCCACAGTAGTTTGTAAAGAACCTAGAAACATATTCTAGTATCGATCTACGAACTTCTGGTTATTCATGTGAGCCATGTCATTGTGTTCTGACATTTCGGTTGGTCAAGTTAGAATACTGCCATGTCTCAGTTTGTCCGCTGGGATAGTATTCTCTCTTAAGAACCTTATGATGCGTATCAAATGTTTATTTGCAAAGTATACTATGCAATCGGTCATAGCTAACGTAGAATCTGGTATATATCTGACAGAACATTTAAATTAACCAATATATTATTTTCTCCGTTTGCAACCTCGTAGTAAATTCCACGGTCACTGAAATTTTAGTTCCCTCTTTTCTATACTCTAAATTTTAAATTTGCTGAACGGACTATATTTCTCATCATCTGTAAATAATCGACATTTTCATGACTGAAAATTTTAATTCTTGTAAATAATCTCTCATTGTACTTTTATAGTAAAAAAATCTTGTTCAAATTTTTACCAGGTTATTAAGAAATGTCAGAAGTAAACGAAAGTGAATGTGAAGAATTCTTGAACATTATTAAGTTGTCTTTGGAGGAAGATAAAAGTCATGTTCATGTTGTTGTGATCATCGGAGCCTCTGTAAGAAATACTAGAACGTCTGTTTATAATATATTATAGGGTGACTTGGCAAAGAAAAAGACTTATCCGACTTTATGGTAACCTGATGATTAACTTTGTTACAATCTAGGTGGTTGTTCCGTGATGGTCTTCTTCCCCCTCGGACTTACTTTGTTGGGTTTGCACGGTCTGATATTGGTACCCAGGACATAAGAGCAGAAAGTGAAAAATTTGCCAAGGTAAGATTTCATTTTTACAACCTTATTTACGGAAAATTAACGCCGGAGAATTTAAATTACTGTTCTTATTTCACTAGCAGACGTTGGCTTCCACATAAGTTTTCAAAATGACTATCAAGCTCTAGGGCGAAATTCACCTAAATTTAGGTATGCAATTTTTTCTATGTATTAAGTCTGATTTATCCAGCTTGGCATATTTGAGCTAATACCTTCTAACTTCTACTAAAAATCATTGCAATATATTTCTGAAATATGAGGTTGCCTCGTGAATATGACTTTGATTTATATCTCCCATATTTATATTTCAATACTTTTCTCACTTTATACTTCTCGTCTCATTGATTTCTCTTTATGTTTATGTGAAATGTCGCAACCTAAACCGACCCAGATTCATTCCACGTTGATGACTGACTGATGTACTCGGCTTTTATGTTTAATCTTTCGATTAAATATATATATGCTGGCCATACTTTTCTAGTCCTATCTAATTTTACGATACTTTCAACTCGGTTCACATATATTATTGATAAATTTCCCGAAGCTGTTCTTAATGGGCACAGTCTTTGCTATATGACTGTCAGCCATTCAGTTTTTATTCCAAACTCGTCCCACTTTTCCAATAGATAAGTAGTATGGTTAGTCAACTCTAAGATGTATCTATTGGTTTGTCGTACACTTGTATATTTAGTTATTGAGACTAATAGTTTATGGTTTTCTGGGGGTAAATATTTTTTCACATTATACCTTACCTGGCACATCACTATGACATCTCCATGTGAGTACAATAAAAATGGTGGGATTTTTCAATTCCTACTTGAAAATGAGTACTCCCTACGTGTTGGCTTGTAACATGTGAATCATTGATCAATGTTAATGGATTCATTTGTAAAATATTTTTTGTAGGAATGGATCATTTTAAGTTCCTTTGAAAAATATCAAAAAATGAACTAGATAAATTTTATTCTTAAATTTTCAGTGAATTAGAATATCTTTCTAATCCACAACATTTATCGTACACATTGCATTTTTTAAGTTAATTAATTAGTTTTTCGTAGTACTTTACTTTATAAACAACTTTTATTTGGTTCCTATCAGCTCTCATCATCTCCATGTCAAAAATATGAAGAATTTTGGGACTGTAATTTTTACTTGAGAGGAGATTATACGAATCCAAAAACATTTGAATTACTAAATAAGTTTATAGAGTCCAAGTGGGAACAATCTGTTAATCGCATATTTTATTATGCTATACCACCATCAGTTTATAAACCTGTTTCATCATCTATCAAAGAATATTGTACTAACAAAAAGTAAGCAATATTTCACTGTTATAATTCTTGAAGTAATTATTATCGGTTCAGTCGTTTTGCGATCTTTTTTCTTCTACAGACAATATGTATAAGAATAATTATTAATTTTTAATATAAATGAACAAATAGATTATTTTATGACCAAATTGTATTCATGGTTCTTTAAATTACCATTTGGAACTCTGTTGAATGAGATTTTCATGTTTATAGTAGTTTAACTTTCAATTTATTCTGTTCATCGAGATGACTGAAATAAATGAAGATTGGAATTTTAAGCTAAACTTAATAATTTGCATTTTGTCGAGGTCACTGTATTCATATGATTATCGAAAGCCTAAGTTATTAATAACTGACATTATTTTTCTAATCAGTCATATTTGTTCAGAACGTTACCATTCCAAAACCAACTAGGCCTTAACACATCATTGTTTGAATTTTGTTTTATGAACAAACTTATAAATCGAGGTTAATAGAAAATTCCACCTATCTATCTTGTGATTACATTCTGAATTGATTTCAGTATAAGTGATTCAGTTTCTAAACTTAAAATTTCATTTAGTTCAGAAAATGTTTGGCTAAAAGCCACGAGTCTGAAAATGTTTTTCAAATTACTCTTAATCCTAAAACACTTTAAATACATTGATCTTTCAGAAAGTCAAACGATGCTTAGCAATTAGGCCTGGTAGTCAAGCCTTAATCGATTAAAGAATGAATGACCTACAAGCTTATTTCCTCTAATTGGCTATGATGTTTTGTCATGTTTATTTTGTATTCATATGTTGCATACGAACATGTTATCTGATTATATGGAGAAACTATTCATTTGGCTAGTGGTCTTGTTTCTAATTTCTAATTATTCAGGGGCCTAAGTTAAGTATACGGTCCGTAGGTAGCCATCACTCGGTCACATTATATCATTATGTTCATCTGCTGACTGGCACTGTATTCATCGATATTAATGGTCGAAATTTCATCTAATAAAACCACAGAAAACCTCTTCCATGACATAAAGTTTAGGAGAAATGTGTATTTAAGCATGTCGATATCAACTTCTTAATGTTTCAGCTAGAAGTCGTAAGAATTCGCAACATCAAAAATGATCCTTAATCGATAATGATCGGGAAGCAAATTATCATTGGTTTTGCTAATAAAATGCCTAAGTGTATAATACGCTAGCATTTTAGTTGTTATGGTCAAATTCTATCAATAACGACAATAGATAATAAAATTATTTAGCCGATTTTTCCTACTAACATCGGCGAACAATATCTGGGCTTTACTTAACTGCATTACCGAGTTGTTATGATGTGTGTTGATGATGAAAATCTGTCTGTTTCAGAGGAACAAAATTCTTTATCTTAAAGGACTGTAAAATATCTTACAATAAGTGGCGCTTTAAACTGAAACTCCATTTCTATATCACATTCCGAATTTTATGCACTGCTATGAGTCTAGATTGAATTTCTAACTTACACGTGAAATCTTATATTCCGTTCTTAATGTTCGTTCCAAGTAAATCGGAATGCTGAAGTGACACAATATTCATAGATTATCTGGATTACTGGCACACTGTAGCGTTGAAACACAACAGCACTTTGAATCTTGTCAATTACATTTTGAGGTTACTTGACAATTTAATTTTTTTCAGCCAACAAGTTATATTGATTGATGTATTTTGTCTACTACAATAATACTTTTCCTAACTGAGGATATATACCTTACTCCAAATTAGTTGTGGGAGTGAACCGTTGTCAGAGGGCCTTTAATTTAATTATTGATAAATTTATATTTAATTCATTTGGAAAATTCTTTTTTACACCGCTTCTTAATGTTATACTCGTAAATAACAAAATGCTGCTTGGTATTATACTTATTTTTATTGGTTAATTTAATAGTTCAGGTTGCTTTGTTTTCTGTTTTGTAAGGTAATTACCATAAGAAATATGCCTCATCTTTCGTAGTGGTAGCATCACTTTTCTTTTCAAACATATCTTCAGTTCTTTTTCTCAAAATATTTCTATGGTTCTTTTGGAGTTTGTTTCTGTGTTTTTTGTCGTTATCTTTGTCCTTATACCCAATCATTATGTAACAGTCATATAACAAACTGCAGTTTTTAAACGTAGTTAACAATAAACGAAACAGTGGTTCATATGTTTTCATGTCTTTCAGTAAGTTACACTCTCATCCTTTTGTAGTGAACACGAACACCAGTAGGGATAATCGAATGTATTTGACACAAAATTACAGGACTTGTTAATAAAATCTAACAATCAAATAGTAAATACGTAATTTGCAAAATGTGCATCAGTTGTCTTATAATGACTCAGACTTCATTGTTCTTGCATTTTCATACAAATTGCATTCTGTTCCCATTCTTTACTGTTCGATCCTCTTGTCTCTGTGCTGCCAGACATTCCGTTTCTGTATAAAGGATATGACATTATGACTGTTCTCTGAGTTTTTTTGAAGTACTATCTTCATCCTGATCAAGTTATGAAAGTGCCTTGTATCAATATTTATTTTGTACTCAGAAAGGAACTAACAACGAATATATTAGAACACTGAAACTTGTGACTTTCATAAATATTAATTTTATGTTGGTACAAATTTCTTAGCCCTGATACGTGGACTCGATTGATCATTGAAAAACCGTTTGGACGAGATTTAGAGTCATTTAATGAATTGAATTCTGAATTAACTAAACTGTTTACAGAAGAACAGATTTATCGAATCGACCATTATTTGGGCAAAGAAATGGTTCAAAATCTACTAATTTTACGGTAAGATTCTTTCTACAGTACTTTATATAATTATTAACTCTCTTATATGTTCATTATTTTTTGAGCTCATAGATGCATGAGTAATAATGGTAACACATTTTGCCAGTTGTACTATTATTCAAAAGAAGGAAAAATTAATCTGGAGTGTAAAATAATTCGATATTTTCTAACAAATACTTATTTGTACTTGTTTATTTTTAATCGGTAAAGAGATTTTATTAAAACATATTTTAAGAGCTAAACATAACAATATGAACATTATATGCCTTATGTCAACATATCTTGTAAATCTCAATCAAATTCGATCAACACAAATATGAAATCAGAATTAGTTTTAAATCAGATTCTGTCGATGTCAGCAAATCATCACTCTCTATTATATGTATATAAATACCACTAATGAATGCAATAGATACCTATATCGTGACGATCAATGAAGTAAACATTACATTATTGTTAGAATGCATTTGATTTAGAGGAATCATTTAAAAGTGTCTAGCTAATAAACCAGTTGATTGTTTATACACACTCTTATATTGTTTGGTTTTTTTCAAGCCTCAATTATCACTAAAAATGATAGAAACTATCCAAACTAATGTTTTATCTGTATTTTGTATTCAATTTAATTGCACATGCGTGTATCATATCGTTATTATATAAAACTTTTCTGCACGGTCAAAACATTTAATATTTGGAATATACGAACAAGTTCATTTAATGTATCATGTTCAAACAGTTGCATATTTGCATTATTATCTAATATGAATAAACTATAGCAACTCACATGCGTTTGAGTTTATTCACATTTAATTTGGTTAAGCCCTTTTGTTAACTTATTTATCGGATAGAGTCATTCCTACAATAACAACTTATCTATACTATTGTACCTTTACTATTGTTGTTGAATTCGTATGCTTGAGTATAGCTTACTGCTTACTCATATATTCATTCTGCTAATCTTACTATTCGCTTAATTGATTCGATGATTCATTCATTTCACCATGTTTATATATGTACATTTTAGTCCTGTTCATTGACTCACTCATTCGACTCTCTTTCCCGCTTGCTTTTCGGCACTACTCTTTCATGCTTGCTTAGTGTACCTGTAATTTTGCGTATTTTTACATTTGGCCTGACTGATCAAGAAAACGACTAGTAAGCTAAACACATAACCCATTTCTTCCAACAGCATGCCTCGTTTGTAATCTCTCATCTGCCGTTGAGTCCTTAGATGTCCGGTAAATCGTCTGGCTTTCAAAGAATAACGTGTCCCCTATTTTCCGATCTAGCACCATCTCATCCTCCTAAAATGATTTTCATCTTGTCATTCACTTAAAGTGAAGACAGACGTTAAACAAGAGAGAAATATTTATATTCATATGAAGTAAATTCACAAGAAGGGCTCTTAAAAGTTGCCAAATAAGGAAACAAAACGAACAGAAAATGGTAAGCAGATATTGAGATGAATCAGAAAATTGTGCGATTGGTTAAATAATTTTCGTCACAAAAGCTATCGCTTTAACTACAAAAAGGCTGAAGTAATGTTTTCAGCGTTCAATAAGTTACTTTGGTTAGTTTAGTCGTTAAAATACTTCTCGACAATTTTCCAGTAAGATTTTGGTTTAACCGGTTTTGCTCACTATGTTTATTATGCAAAAGATTTTCCTTGTTTGATTCAATTTGCATTTATTTGCAAAAAATAATCACTTTCCAGATTCTGTAATCAAGTCTTCAGTCCACTGTGGAATCGTGAAAATATTGATAATATTACAATATCATTTAAAGAACCATTCGGAACCGAAGGACGTGGTGGGTATTTTGATCAATTCGGAATTATTCGGTAAGTAGAAATTCCCTTCTACCTTAAAAAAATGTATTTAAACGTGTCAAATTACGAGATTATGAATGATAGCTCATTGTTATTCAGTGAAAATATTTAGTTGGTTCAGTGCAGATTCGTTCAATTTTTTCGGTTTAATTATATTGTGCGCGATATTACTTCTGTATTTCATGGTTTCGGCTATATGTATAGGGTTGCGGATACGCGTCGCTGACGAGTCCCAGGTTGGAACGAATCAATTAATCGATTATTCTTGGTCTTCAATGATTCTCCAGCTGTTGTAAGTTTGTGGACAGAATTATCTCGAAATCATAGTTTGACATCATAATTTCCACATATCGGTTATTTTGACAACAGTTGCGATCATAAATTGAAGTCGGTTGAATAACTTATAAAATCAGTGTTGGCACAAACAGTAGTATTTTTGTTTTCATCATCGGTAAAGTATAACTTCAGTGATAAACTCTACTCATCCTCAAGTTTAAGATGTACCATCAAGTCGTTATTGAATAAGTTATATTGAACTTTAGCTAATTCACATTCTCCGCAAATTCACGAAAATTATTATCTGACTACTGACAGTAAACATGAACTATGTGTCAGTCACTTGGCGTAAAAATGGAGCTTCGTTGACAAAAATGTAAAGTGTATATGTTTATATGAACAACCTGACTGTTTGAATGAATGGGCAGGTAATATTATAATCAGAAACAATAACACATTCACAAGGTTCAAGTGCTTGGAGTAATTAACCAAGAAGACAGTCATCTAAAGTATCGATATTTAAATTAAAAAGACCCGTTCCCATTCAATTTATGAAAGATGCTTTATCGAACCAAAAAGATTTTGAGGGTAGACATCAAGAAATTTAGAATTTGTTCTTGTTAGGAATGATTCACTTAATTATCTGTTGGGTGTATTCTCTGAGAGACATGAGAAAATGTATGATCTAGCGCAATTCAAATGGAGCGCACTTCAAATCAATGTTATTAGGACGAATTGACACCAAGAGAACCAAATGAATCGAAATAATGACATCAATAATAGGCGATAATCTAAACTAGAAAAATGGCTTTAAAAAATCAAACAAATAACATTAATTAATGAGAAGTATATTTTAACACCAATGTTCAGTGAATTGAAGTAAAATAATCAATGAATGGTGTATTATATATCGTATTAATTTTAAGTCACATCACTAATTATTAATGATATTGTTAGATTTGAAATTGGTGAAATTTACAATTAATAGTTTAGTATACGCTGTCATTATAAATTCACTTTTCAAAATTATCAATGTAAATAATTCATTTAAGTTGATAAAAGAATTCTCAAATAACTCTTTGTTAGTTTTTGAATGATATCGAAGTCTACCGATTGATTTGGACGTTACATAATATTATCAAATGCAATTCCATTTCGTGATATCATATATTTAACATTAGTATAGGAACATTAGCATATAAACATTGGTATAAGAGGGCGCCAAATACATATGCACCATGCAATAACAATGAGACCAGTAGCAGTTACCATTGATTTATGTGAGGTCTGTGATACTACCCTGGTGCCCAAACCAAAACAGGTGGTTTTCTTAGAAGGCCACACCCGGAGCCTCTAACCTAGAAGCTTAATCCATAAGGCACTGGAGCAACTTTAGAAGATGCAGTCCCATGGTAGCCGGTGACCAACGATTGGTTTATACGCCATTTGTTCCTTCAGGATACTGGAGCTCATGTGCACCATTGGTTTGGAATGAGGGTTTTCCAACTCCCCTAGGTGGACTCTCCGTGTCCACCAAACCGGTTAAAACACCGGATATTCGCTTTTCTTCCTCTCAATTTCATAAACAGCACCTCCCGACACGAGAAGGCAGTGAGTAGGACTTCCCTGACAGAGGTTATATACGCGTGGCCATGTGGGAGCATTTCGAGAGGGAGAGCGGACTGTCCTCACTCTCGGCCGTACCAAGACATTTAGTGGTTTCTATGCACTAAGGTAAACATTTAAATTTTAAAATATTGCATTTCATTGTGTTGATTCATTTAAATAGACAATATGTATTCTCGTGAATTCATCTTTCTGCTTTTCTCATACTATTTTCATCACTAGTGATGTTGTTCAGAATCATCTTATTCAAATTCTTTCCTTGGTAGCAATGGAAAAACCTATTTCAGTTAATGCAGATGATATACGTGATGAGAAGGTAGATTGTAATCATTTCTGTTTGATATTTCATCTTGATGTTATTGTTACCGATATTGATGCTTAGTTTGATACTAATTTTATAGAGTTGTATTTATCACAGGTTAATCTCAGTTGGACTACAAATAAAAACCAGGAAGCGAAACCGTTGTCACCGGTGGCATTGAACGGTCATTATGCTATATTATCACAAATCTATATAAGCTAGAATTATAACACTGGAAGCTGACCCAATGGTTCTAATGGTTAGACGTTTACCACGAGAACTGAAGCTCTAGGTTCAGTCTCTGGCAAGGTCGTTGACACATGCTGCTGCTGAGTTTTATCCAAGGATAAAACTGCTGTCTAGTGACCCGTGGGTTTTAGTCGTACACGGACTGAGTTCAGTATAAGGAATACAACCTGCAAATTAAGCCCATCTCCACAAAACTCATTCAACCAAACTAATGATGATTTATTTTATCTAACAAAATGTAGTCTTAAAATATTATCAATATTACAAGAATTTGCTTGAGGAACTTAGTGAAATGCATTATTCATTATATGAGGAGTTATTTATGCGCATGCCCATGACATATTCAGCCTATATTGACTGGATTGTGTATTTTTGAAGTAGTTCAGTGCATTTGACAGGATATTTAAGGGATGAGACTATTTTATTTAATGAATACTGTCCTTCATCTTATTTGACTCGTGTCTATTAAAACGAATTTACTTTGCTGTAAGAATTCTTTGCTTTATTCATAAAAATTGTTTAAGTTACTGTGCTAAATGTACCAAGTCTCTGTGCCATCTGTCCTTAGTAGCCATGTGACGGCGTAAATCCCAGCAAGATAGTATAGTTCTGATGACAACAACTGTATACAATCTAAAAGACAACATGACAACTGTTGATTGTCACATATAGTTTCTTAATGAGATACAGATTTCAAGATAGCTCGAATCTTTGGTTGGAATTACTCACTACGAGTATGAAAACGGTAATATTAAATGACGTTTTCGTTGGTCGAAATCTGCAGATCGAAATAGTGTAATTAGATCAATCTCTCAAACCATACAACGCCCCCAAATGCCCTGGTACGGCCGAGAGTGGGCAGCGTCCGCTCTCCCACATGGCCACGCGTATATAACCTCTGTCAGGGAAGTCCTACTCACTGCCTTCTCGTGTCGGGAGGTGCTGTTTATGAAATTGAGAGGAAGAAAAACGAATATCCGGTGTTTTAACCGGTTTGGTGGACACGGAGAGTCCACCTAGGGGAGTTGGAAAACCCTCATTCCAAACCAATGGTGCACATGAGCTCCAGTATCCTGAAGGAACAAATGGCGTATAAACCAATCGTTGGTCACCGGCTACCATGGGACTGCATCTTCTAAAGTTGCTCCAGTGCCTTATGGATTAAGCTTCTAGGTTAGAGGCTCCGGGTGTGGCCTTCTAAGAAAACCACCTGTTTTGGTTTGGGCACCAGGGTAGTATCACAGCCCTCACACATATCAAATGAGATCTGTGTGGCACTTATGTATTTGATTCGTCCTTGTACCAATATCCATGTGTTAAAATAAATAAAATAAATCCATACAACAGCAAACTGAACATTGTTCAACGTTCCATGTTTCAAGTCAAATAATTAGACACCTTGATTCGGCTTTTAACATCGTTTAATATTTTTTTGTGTAGATTTCACATAAAACTATTGCGTTGTCGTAAATTAAAACCAGTATCTTTCCCTCATGTAGTATAAGAAATATTTGAATCATCGTTGACTCAATGTTCAAGTGGACTGTTGTAAAACATCTGTCCATAAGCGTTAATCTTAATTGTTGGTCAAAGTTGGTCGATTAGTAAATACAGTGAAAATTCTTACTGACACAAATCTACTATAAACTCTGTCTCATATATGTATATTGATACGAAAAGAGTGGTACTGACATTGATACCATAATTTATTTTGAGAAGGATTGATCTATACCTCTTAACAATATTTCCTTTGAAAATAATATTGTCAATAGTTTCTATCTTGAGCTGCAAATCAATAGATAACCGATTAATCAGGAATCTCAACAGGATTTTCTTAGTTAAGTTGTCGTTGGCAATTAACAGGTAGTCCTGAATGTTGTAGTCTTCAAGTTAGTTGAGACTCATTTGCTAGGCAAATCTATAATCCATAAGGAATTGAGTTTCGCTGTGGCATTCGAACACGTGTCACATTGAGAGATAATAATACCAAACTATTCGAGCAATGAGTAACCTCTTACTGGACTAAAATATTTATGCTTATTAATCACTCAGTAGTAACAAACGTCATACTGTCCATTTTTCATTCGTAATCCATTCCTATTGATTTTATCGCACCGTGACTACTAGTTTAAGTGGTTCAACATCAAGATGCACTCTGTTTGAATCTGATAGACTTTAATAACTGGATAACATTTAATTGGTTATTGCAAATCGATCAATTGGTGCAAAAGTAGTTTTCGTGCTTATTTTGCTGTTCACAGTTGGTTGTTATCTCATATAAATAAAACCTTTAATTTACTTCAAAGTAAAAATCAATAGCGAAGTTTATTGAATAATTTCTCACGTGTTATTTTTCATATAAGTTCACTTAAAATTTGAATATAAAACACGTAGAAAGTTGATTATAGCGAAAATGGTGAGCAGTACTTGTTTAAATGTTATGTTGCTGAAATAAGACATCAATAGTAGCCGAATTATGTAATGCAATCAAATTCTAGCATAGTAACAACATTTTTAATTAGGAAGTTAAAACAGGTTGTTGTGAAACCGATAGGCTGCACAATGATTAGTAACAAAGTTCAAAGTCATATGTGGTCAGCAGTTAACAATAGCTATAAAGTAGAAAACAATCGAAAATTACGATAGTATGCTGAAATGAGATTTTGTGTATGATAAATCCTTTTGAATAAGGTACTACGTAATAGTTTAAAATGTAGGTTACCGGTTGAGTCTCCAAGAGCTCTTGTGTACATTTCCCGTGAATACAAAGAGTTGATCTGATAAAACCTATGTCAGCTGTTGCCAGCCAACTTACATGCAGATATTGCAGCGAACTGGATGATAATCGATAAATTGGTTGGAAAAACTTCAGTCAGTTTAGATTGACTTCCAGTGTATATCAAGTGAGAAAGTAAGAATCTCTCGAATACTCTTATTTTCTCTTTATTAAATAATGATGTATTTTGTTCAGAAATTCAGTAATAAACGTGTCTGATTAGATTTATGCTGTGACTAGTTACACAAAACCTGTTGAATCGTTACATACCCATGGAAAATCCAGAAAGCTCATCTTTGTTCTTATCTATTGAAATCGAAATATTCGCGCGCGATTCTGAAGGTCCTAGGTTCGAGTTCCGCGAGAGGGGTCGTGGATGCTCATTTTTGAGAAGTCCTACTCTAGGACGAAACAGTCGTTCAGTGATTCCAGTCCTTCGATGGGTGGTTTAACAGTGATCGATTAATGGTTTCAGCGAGATATTTAAGTCACACATTTTTCTAAATAACGAATATTTAAAATTATTCCACATGATTCTGTAAGTTGGTGACAAATATTTGTACTCACATGAGTAACTTAAAGAAAACGTTTGACACAATCCATAAAGCTTGTTTTTCATACTGTAAACTGTATATGTATTTTTAAATTATTGAATTATTTTATTTTAAATTATGTAAACCGTTAATACTAAAGACAATATGTGTTATTTGAATGGGTTTTTGCACGGTATCACAGTTTCGTTGACATTTTAACTACACCCATCAGCCTATACAATTTATTTCTTCTTAACAATTTCCCTTGTTTTTACCACTATATACCTGTGTAATTTTCTCATTGTATTTACGTTTGTACTATACCTCCAATTGATTGGCCTAAATCGATGCTCATAAATTGCTAAGTAGTTTGTATACTCTACAATATACTATGTATCTGATCTTTTTTATCGCTCGGTCAATATTTTTCAGAATATTTCTGTGAAGTTGTAGGTTAGTCGAATAAGTTTTAATGACAGAAACGTTTGTTGTCGATTCCCTTTACAAAGCATGTGAATTAGTTCAATTAAAACGTTATTCAATGGCTCCCCCTATTTTTACATCAGTTTTATTATCATCAAAATAGTTTCTATTTACCCTTAATCAATTTGACCTCTTGCTTATGAATTTTTAACAATAAATACTATACTAGAATAAAATAATTTATTCATTCTTTAAGAAGTTTTGATTTGTTCTCCAAATGATATTAGTTTTTGATCGTAATTAAAATACCTAGAACTTATAAATTAACGAAATTTCTACAAAATCATTTTAACTTGAATAACCAATCTCTGATTCACCAGTTATGAACTCAGATTCTTGCCTACTTTTCTAATGATTAAGTTTTGTCAAAATAATTTATATCTTTTAAGTTGTTTCCTTTATTCAGTTAATTTTTCTAATTTATAGTTCAGAATACAGTTAGCCAACGTTAAAATGTCATTTGAGGATTCAGTGTTTGTTTCTAAAGTGAAAAACACTTTTCATTTGGAATTTATTTTATCTATATAAATGTAGTAAAGTTTTCCTTTTATTGAGTATTTTCAAACATATTTTATAATGTAATGTATAATCTAATCTTTATCTAAAATACCTTGGTTACTAATTATAAACTGTAATGAACCCTATAATTAGCTTATTTTTCATTTTGAGAACTTATATTCATTTGTATAATAATCTGTAATCAAAAATTATTACTTTTGGGTGGGAACAGTTGAAAGTAAAAAAACAAGTAGTAAATGAAAATAATTTGCCTCGACTAAATTGTTATTTCGTTTTCAATTTTACATTTCTAAGTTGTTTGTTGAATAGCAAATAAAAAGCTACAAATACACGAACTACATCATATGTATAGCCTCCTTTGATGGTATCTTTCGATACTTCTATACATATGCACATTTTAATAAAACCATATATAGATAATTTCGTTGAAACTATAATTTATGGACTACCTTTAAGCGACGCTAAAGTGGTCTTCAGAATGTCCACTTACTTATTAGGGCTAAATGAGAGTTATAAACCTGTGTGAAGAATAAGAATTATGATTTACAGTTGATGGTTAGGGTTAAGAATTAGATTTTGGGTTTTCATCACGAACTGATATAAGTTAAAATGTCAAAATACTCTTTAACTAAATGGATGAATGAATTCCGCATCAAAATTCAAGACCTGTTATCTTAAGCCTGATTGGTTAGTCCATAAATTATAGTGTCGTCAATAATCCTTATTATAGGCTAAAATAAATATCAGTCTATGAAAAAACAGTGTAACATTCAGTAAGCTGTTTCAAACTGAATTACAAGCTTTCTCAAAACCATAAAATAAAAACGATTAGTGAATCGCTACTATTCTTTAGAATTTTGTCTTGTTAATTCTACTCTGTGACATCATTTCTTAGCACAATTTTTAATAAAATGATAAATACCCAGATAATAAAGAGTATTAGTGATTTTAATTGTGGTTTCCTATTTGTGAGTATATACATTCATTTTAATACATTAAATACTTTATTAGCATAGTTCTATTCATGTGATACTGTTATGTATTGAAAAACTCACTCAAATTTGCCTTTTTGTTTGTCTTCACTTACATCTAACAGAAAAATTTCAATTGTGGTTACATTAATAGACATAAAATCTAAACAAGTGGTATAACACAATTTAATAATGAGTTGTTTTATTGTTTCAAGATTATTAGTACCTATCTCTTCACTTCTATCGTGGACTAAGTCTTTTTTCGTCGATAAGAAACGTGAGATATGAAGTATTCAATATTATAAACACGATACAAATTCATTGTTTTCATCCTAGTTTATTTGCATCTGTAACATCAAAGAAATCAGATTTTTCATATTTGTATATTCGAGGATGTATGGTCCCGACCGTAGCTGCTACCTTGACGCGGTGGTCGGGTTTGCCTATCGTGATGACCCAACCGAGCTATATTGGCTGGAACATATGTTCCTGTAGGTTCTACCATGCCAGGCAGGTCGATTGGAGAACGGTAAGACTAGAAGCAGCAACTCAAGGTTTGAGGGCGAAGTCGTACTGCTGACTGTAGAGGAGTGTGACAGCAGTAAGGTGTTTCCCTCGGACAACCAGCATATACAGCGATGCTGCCTTCTCACAAGGAAGGAAGGGGTTGAAAAAGGTCGACCCTAAAATTGTCACACCTCACCTTACCTCACGGATCTCCGTCTCCGGCGGTAAGGCCCTTTGAAGAACGGAGCTAACACGTCAAAAACCCCCCACGAAAAGGCCGTGCGCGACCGGCCTCAAGCAGTTGTCCCTTGGGCTCTGCAGTCACGCTCCCAGGTCGTTAAGACCAACACTAGTCCAATTTCCTTTTCAGGTCCCTCAAGAAATACTCTTCCATGGTGTGGGCAGCTGGGAAGTGACACCAGCCCTCATACCCGTAACAGCACACGAGACCAAGTTGGTCACATTCAAATCCTTCCTACTGACTGACTGACTGGTGTATGATAAAACAAATTAGTGAATTTCATCGTCATTTTTTATTTGTTAAATTTTTCTGTTAACTAATGTTTTAGATCTTTCTATTTGGTAAAATCTATTTGCGACAAAAACGTAAAATTTTTAGTCGTGATAAGATTTTAAAATTCATTCGCAGTTACAATTTCTTGAACAACAATATGTCATTTTAACATAAATCATCAAAAATGGAGTAGATTTATAACCTTTGTTTGAAACTTGTCGAAAGTTTTCTCACACGAGATTGGACTCGTAACTTTCAGACCGCTTGACTAACACATCATATAGTCAGTGGTACAGAATTCAACAGTTTAAACATTAAAAATTAGTCAATCCGCAATATAATGCAATCTGCGCTCAATAGTATCAAAGGATTACTACCTGACTGTCGGTTTTGTCAACTTTACATAGTACGACTTCCCAACAGAACTTTCAAAAAGATCTATGTCGAGCACATTATTGCTATATGTTGCGGAGTGACTGAAACGAGAAATGTGAATCATCTAGTTCTTACCCCACCGTTCAATTGTAACTTACTTGTTCTTAGATTCAGTTGTGCTAATTTATTTCTCGTTATATTATGAGTGGCTTCTACTGAATACTCTTAAATCTAAAAGTGTTGGTTTTTGGTGTTCCGTTGCTTTTTGATAATTGTTCAGTAAATAAACTGGAATTATACGGCTAGGTAATCTCAACCGATGCAAATCAAATGTTAGATATTCCGTCGCTAGAAAACATTTTCATCGTGCTTCAAGCTGCTGACATAAAATCATACGGTGGTTATTTCGTAACGAGGACGTAATATATCCAAACGCCTGTCACTCTCTCTCTGGTTAGCTGTTACTGGGTTCCAATGAATATTCGCTCTATATATATTAAATATGTTTGATGATATCAACGTGTGCTCGTAACTGCACTTAAAATATCACTTCATAAGTACATGATCATCACTATAGTTTTTACGTATGCTACCAATATTTCGTGGTTTAATTATGCCAGGTTTTAAGCTAAATCTTTCTACCGTTTAATTTATGTACTGTAAATTATTTTTATAGTTCGTTCGTGTTTAGTTATTAACAGGATTATATTAAGGATGAAAACATGTGAGATTATGTTATGATAGTGGTGTGTGTATGTGTGTGGACGTAGAAAACAGTGTAATGTTTTAATAATACATACTTTTTTCCTTTATTATATTCTTTGTAGGTTCGTGTGCTTCGAAGCATTGAACCTCTAACAATAGACGACATTGTAATTGGACAATACGTTGCAGATCCGAATGCAACAAATCCACCTGCTTCGTTGTCTTACACGGATGATCCATCAGTTCCTAAAGGTAGTCCAACTTTTTTCCAGTTTTCAACCTGAAGCGTTTATACAGTTTTTAATAACTGCGTGATTTGTTTGTCGGTATTCGAATAATGTATGTATAATTTGATTAACTTTATATCATTGGTGTGAATTTTTGAAGGGTCTCATGATTCACAAAACAGTGATTCAATCAGCGTTTTTGTGAAATTGCAACAACCGACCTTGAGGAGTTTACAAATACAATTTTTATTTGTATAAAGAATATACAAGTGATGATTTTGGTATCTTTTATAATAATATCAATTTCAATAATATTCTACATATCTTCATGAACTCTTACCCATCATTCAGATTCATATTTGAAGAGAAATGAACTAAACCTTCACATCTCTAATATTAAAATGGCAAGAAGATTTTTATGGAACGTTCTGAAGATCCGTTTGTAGAGAATCCCTACCAACTGGAAGGTGAATTTGATTATATCTTATCCAGTGAATCTGATGATTCTGCACTCCCAACGTTGCAAATGAAGAGCTCAACCTTCTCAGAAAAACTAATTTGAAACGCATTTTCACGATTTGTTTACAAAAACATCAAAATATTCGTTCCTAAGATACTCCACATAAATGCTAACTTTAAGGGTGACGCATCTGACGATATCATCAAAAGGAAATTCTGTGTGGCAACCTTGAAAACCGACAACTTAAAAGAAAATTTTTGGATCCGGCCTATTCCTTATTCATCTATTAATTCACTTTTTCCTGTGGAACAGGGTATATTTGTCTTATAATGTGTATTTTGTCTAAACGAGTCCAGAGACACTACTTCGCATGGTTAGGGTAAGGCAACAGTGAAAATTTTATTACAACTGATCGTCTGATCAAAGTCGTCTGCTAGGTGAACAGAAACTTAACAAAAGCAATATGTTTCCGTCTCCTACGTATTTATAAAGCCGTCACTATGCATAACAAAGCCAGAACTATATCTACAAAAGAAAAGTGTCCAGCGTTTTATCTCACCGTGAACTTAATTTGTAAATTGTAATTATTTAAGTTATCATTTTATTTTACTTTCATTTTACTTTATTTTGTTTATCTTCTGAAACTTTTATGAATTATTCTCTCTATGTCACTCTGTTGAAGTCTTAACCCTGACGGATCTACTTTTGCTTCTATATCATTATCGAATTTTATGTTATCGTATTGCACTATATAATTTCTATGATGTCTTTAATTTAATTTTGATCGAACCACTCTTCAGTAATAATTTTTTACTTGGGCTGTGCATTCGTATTTATAGTCGTTATGGTAAATTTACCATACAAATATAAATGATCTCGTCTAAAAGGATAATTGAAGTCTTGAATCACTTTGTTATGCAACAACTTTTTTACACTTATTTCATTTTTTACTATGTTCGATTAATCTTTAAAAACACAAGTATATACTCGATTGTACAGTTGTGAGAATGAAGTTTCTGTGCAGAAATCTTTTCGTTCAGTCATTCTCTTGTTTTAACAAAATTAGTTTGAATTTAGCAAAAACATGCATTTCTATTCAAATTTGTTGTATTTGGAGGGTGCACTCTTCTCGTGATGAAACATCTCAATTCTTTACTACAATTTTAGGCCCCCAAATGCCCTGGTACGGCCGAGAGTGGGCAGCGTCCGCTCTCCCACATGGCCACGCGTATATAACCTCTGTCAGGGAAGTCCTACTCACTGCCTTCTCGTGTCGGGAGGTGCTGTTTATGAAATTGAGAGGAAGAAAAACGAATATCCGGTGTTTTAACCGGTTTGGTGGACACGGAGAGTCCACCTAGGGGAGTTGGAAAACCCTCATTCCAAACCAATGGTGCACATGAGCTCCAGTATCCTGAAGGAACAAATGGCGTATAAACCAATCGTTGGTCACCGGCTACCATGGGACTGCATCTTCTAAAGTTGCTCCAGTGCCTTATGGATTAAGCTTCTAGGTTAGAGGCTCCGGGTGTGGCCTTCTAAGAAAAGCACCTGTTTTGGTTTGGGCACCAGGGTAGTATCACAGCCCTCACACATATCAAATGAGATCTGTGTGGCACTTATGTATTTGATTCGTCCTTGTACCATAATCTATGTGTTAAAATAAATAAAATAAACAATGTTAGGCGACTTAAAATGACTTGTTTTTTCATCTTACTGTGACACAAATCTTGAACTTTACTTTTCAAGGGTACTTTGTATAGAATATGTGAGCAATCACCTATCCTTATTAGTGAATATTCATTAATGATTAGCTTTTTGATTACTAGCAATGAGATACTTAGACATTTTATCGTGTGTATTTTTGTATGTTTGCTAGAGTGTTGTCTTCATTTGATTACTTTTGGGTCCAAGAGTTTAACGATCATTGTTTGATTTAATAATTCATTCTGGTTACCTAAAGCACTTCAACTCAAACAGTAGATACTTAGTATTCTAAATCAATCATGCAAATGATTTACTCAACTGTTATCCTGTTATTCACCAAAGGTATATAACATGATCACCCCTGTCACCATATATGGTAATATTCACTTGTAATTAATTGCTTAAGAAATATCAGTTGTATATTGTACAGGCATCAAATTAAAGACGTACACAACACAAGTTTTTTAAGCTGCAAATGATGATTCACTCATTAAGACTAGGAACTTTAGCAGGTCTGAATGAGTGTGGTCGTTGTTATAGTTACTTCATGAGTTACTTTAACAAAAATATGAAATCCTTGTCAGTTAGTTAGAGGTAGTGATTAGAAAACTGTAGACCTGGTTTACTTACTACTTTGGACCTGTCAACAAGGCGTACCTTCAGTCTTAGGTGAACTGGTGCTTCCTATCAGGTTCGAATTCGCGTCACTCAGCTCTACAATTTGAGATGTTTTTGTTTGGAATGTAACAGATCTGGTTTAATGTAGGTGGTCAGTATTACAAGATGGGTTGTAATGACGCAATGAATAGAAGAAATATCGGGGCGATTAATGTAACCAAGTATTCAATTTGTTCATACAACCAAACCTTTAATTCTAATTGAAAATTCTTTCGATGACTGAACCGCTAAGCAACTGGCCATATATTTTGGGGAACTAAATGTGTCATGTATAACGCATAAAATATTTAACGAACATAGTCCGATCTTAAGTTACATATATGGCAAACTTTAAAAAAACACCAAGAAATTCAAGGTACTATGCAAAGCAATAAGTTTATATTTCTAAGATCCGCATGAATCTACTTGTACCGATTGATGACCTTATTTGTTTGCGATATTCTCATTTTTCATTGTTCCAGTTTACGAATTTCTGAAAACACTTCACTGTACAATATTTTCACTGTGATCACTATTAAAATTTGTAAAATATTAGTTATATTTAGAAACCAATAATCGTAAATTTTGATATCAACTAAACATTATTGTACAGCCAAATGATTTTCGATTTTTTTAAAATTTTCTGAACAATTTTAGATTCCATAACACCTACTTATGTATGTGCTGTGTTATATGTGAGAAATGATCGTTGGAAGGGTGTTCCATTCATTCTCCGGGCAGGGAAAGGTTAGTTTACATGTTGTTTGTGTATTTTCACTTTTCATTTATTTATTCTTGATCGAGTTTGTTAGAAAAATATGTACTATCAAAATTCTCTAGCAATTTTCCAATCGATTTGTTTAACTGGTGTAACATTTGGAAAATAAAACGATAAAATATGGAACTTATCCAACCTTTTAGTTACCTTTGATAGAAGTGGAAATAACAATGTAAGCTTCGTTGACTGAGGTCGGACACGTTTTAAAGATATATATACATTTACCTTGTACGCCAGCTTGTGATCTTATCTGCATTTATATGAAATAAATATGTAATGTAAGCTGCTTGTTTAATGGTCTATACATGTTTCTGTATGTTTTTAATTTGTACCTTTTTATTCTAATGGTGTAAATAATGATGCTAAATCCTGACTTCTTTTAATGATTACATACTTGTATTTAGTTTGCATTTGAACTATTATTGTAAATTATGTTCTTCAAAAAAATATATCATACAGTAACACTGGTTGACGATTGAAGGAAATCTACTTCCTGTTATATTTAATGATTATTTAGTAAAATGCATATGGATAGCGTCCTATGGACTTGAAATACTGTTATCTATGTGCCATACTGAAAACCTAAGGATATTTTACGTACATTTGTGTTTACAAGTTTTAAGGTAGCTTTGATTATCAGATCTTCATTGACAATATGTTTATCTGTAAAAAACAAAATCCATTATGCCATATACATTTTAGTTTTCATAGAACTTTTATTTAGAATACGAAATACTCTGTTAAAACTCCAATCTTTGGTATTAATGAAACTTTTCGAGAAAACTTAAGACATATATGGCTACCAAAACTGTCTATTCAGTAATGCTATTTTGGTTTTGGGATATGATCACAAAATAAAAGACAGAAAACTTTCAATGCTTTGCTTTTCAATATTAAACTTAAGAAATTTATTAATATGGTGAACAGTTCAATGTTTGAGACTGTCAGACAGTGTGTGTCATCATCGTGAATTTCGATACGTTTTCCTGTATTTGAACAGCTAGATAATGATTTAATCTCAGCACAAGAGTCATGTCGTACTTCAGTCGACCGTCTTCTTAACAGAAATTTAATAAATATTATTAAATTTGGTAAATGATATGGAAATTCATCTTCTGTTAGTTTTGTACCGAGTACACACCTTTCTTTCATTATTAAGATAGTGATTGTCTCATATTAGACGTTACTGAGTTTATTTCGGTCAATCAGTAGAAAAAAGATGAGAGAATTATCTTTTTTTATGCATGAGTCAGCATCCAAAACTCAGAAATTTAATGGGCAATATTGTTGGGTTTTCACCGTCGGTCATGGATAGAATTTTGGTTTACTGATATTCCATGGAATTGTCATAATGTCTCTTAAATGATTCTTGTTTTTCAGACATATTCATTACTAGTATCATTATTTTCTGGGGAGCACATTATTTAATAAGAGGATAAGTATACTAAATTCACTTGATTTAAAAAAAGGTCTTTATGTTTTTTAGATTGTAATTTGTAAACGTTTTCTTTTGCCTTTACTTCTGTTTTTTTCCAAATTTCTGGTGTGCAGCACTAAATGAACGTAAAGCAGAAGTCAGAGTTCAGTTTAAAGAACCTCATATTCATCTTTTCGGTTCAAAAGAAGGTCTACCACGTAATGAATTAGTTATACGTGTACAACCGGACGAAGCAGTTTATATTAAATTGAATGTGAAATCTCCTGGTATGAAATTTCAAACAGAAGAAACTGAATTAGACTTAACTTATGCTCAGCGATATAAAGTATAGTTTTCTTTTCTCTTCTATTAATGTATTATTAAATATTATCAGGCCATCAAACTACCCGACGCTTACGAACGATTGATTCTCGATGTATTCTGTGGAGTTCAGACAAATTTTGTACGTTCTGATGAACTACGCGAAGCTTGGCGTATTTTAACACCGGTATTAAAATACTTGGAAGAAAATAAAATCAGTCCATATCCATACATTTATGGGAGGTAATTGAAATATATTTTCCTTTTCATTGCACAAATTATGGTCAGATTTACCTACTGTTTTGAAACTTTTATTAACAATTCATAAGTTGAACTGGCTATCTCAATGAAGTATGCATTAATGGGTTCAGTCTAGATTCATCAGAACATCATGCGTTTGTATTTATAACTTTGCTTATTGTAGAAGCATCGTGCTTATAAACTAAAGCACTTTTTTGATTACTGAATCTAAAAGGATACTTCTATAACTATGTTTACAATAGTATGTAGACAGTTAAATATCTGTCCATAAAGAATTGTAGATCCGTTTGTATAGATGGAATAGACCTGTCCTATCAGCTGTCAAGTGTTTATTTAAAAGACACCAACCATAGTTATTACATGTATCTATGTTTATTTTTTTTTAAAAAAATTTCGAGATACTTTTTAAAATAGATGCTCACTCGGGCAATTAGATTAGTAATGTGTGCATAACAGCCAGAATAAGATATAAGTCTAAATCCATTGCCTATTAGTCTTGTTTATGTTAGAAAACGTCAGTTAACTTAATTACCATCCTTATCAACTCAACGGCTACGTATTCATAGTAATTCTAAAAAATTTTCAATTTTATAGAATGAATAAATAATGTACACTATTGAAAAAAACCGAAATCATGATTAAATATTTATCTATTACCTCGAGTTTTAGTTATCAGATTTAGATCAGTACTGAACTAAACCCCAAGAACATCTTTAACAGAGTTGATATTGACATTATGTTCAATGATTAAATCGATTGGAGTGTTATCGACAAATGAAATCGATTTTGATCAATGGTTTATACCATGTACTCACATCTGGAGAAAAAGTCAATTAGCTATATCTGTTGATTATAAAGGCTTAATTGTATGATACTGCAACTATGTGATCACATAGTAAGCTATTGATTAATTGATATTGAATATTACTTAGTTTAATTTATGAAAATCTGACTATAAGTAAATCATATAAAAAGTGATATATCCATATATTAAATTATTTCCGGGGTCATATTAAATTCATATAAGTAGTCTTCGTGTTTTGACTACGCGCCGTCGGATTTAAGGGTTTCGTATCAAAGATAAGTCATTTAAGCAGTCAACAGACATATCACTTGTGTACCATCGGTTACGAAAGCCACGCAATATTGTTCGGCCTGCTTTACTGCATCATAAATCGGACTGAATCTAAGATCCCAACCACATCTATTACCAGCTAAGTAAAGTAGACTTGACACTTAGGATCTGATGAATAGTGCAGGACGATTTATAATTAAAAGAAAAGCAAGTACACATATGGAAATTATTCTTTATATTCGTAAACCAAATGTCCATTAAATTATTTCCATATTTCTATTTCAGTCGTAATGGCCCGAAAGAAGCAGATATTTTGTGTAAAAAAGCAGGTTTTCAATACTCTGGTACATATGTTTGGAAATCAGGTTAAAAAATATTCATTCCGTCAATTTGCGATAACTCAATCAATTATATAAAAGATCCACATGTTTTAACTTATTTGAATGCCTTAGTAATTATGAACAGAACATTCGACTAATTTGTTTCTTTACAGCCAATTTGTTTTAAGATTTTATTGTAATAGCACTTTTGTAATAATATTGTCACAACAAACCATATACAAATATATAAATCTGATTAATATATATAACTCGAATACAATGGTAGTTGGTGTTGTTCGGTTAGTTTTATAATGCTTATTGTTTTGGCCCAATAAACAGCACTTTCAGTCATTATTGTATACCAGTGTTACTGTTTGACACCGCAACTTTTTCAGCTTATAAACACCTTACACGAGAACAGTAAATTAGCGAAGTTAAAGTACTTTTACTAGTAATCTGTGGGTCGGAATAATTCAAATTTGCCTTGCATGACCGCATATAAATTGAACATTTCCTACAGTACTTCAAATCATTAGAATTTAGGAACTAGACAAAAAACAGGTATACATGTTTATTCATGTACACAGGATCAGTAAGAACCATATCACCTTGATGTTTTGAACTCGGGTTGTTTAACTCGAGAATGGAATACGCGGCTGATGAGTTGTCGAGGAGTGCCAACTCATTCTCCAAAGGTCACTGAAACATGAATAAACTTTTCCATGAGTTCTAGTCATTTAGCCGGGAGGAAACTGGTTGTTAGACTGTTTTTCTTCGGTTGAAGGAATACCATCTAGGTATGAAAGTGTTTGGTAATATAAGTTAATTAGTACTTCAGTCTGACTGGGCTATTTTCTCCTCGATCACTTCAGTGAAGAGGAAACCTAAGTATCTCGTGATTTTATATTCCCTTGATATAGTAAATGCAACTGGTGACCCATGGATGTGTATATTAGTCTGCATATTCGTCAGTTGACAAATTGGTTTTAAATAAAATGTGGTACGCCTGGAATTTATACATTTTTCTTTATCACCTTATGAGCGCTCAACAGAGCTATTATGATAATACTTGTTATGTTTGGTTCTTGGTGTATGACTTTATTACTTTTCTATGATTAAGTTCCTGTGATACAAGTGCATAAACATGAACACGAGATTCATCGTCTTTACATTTGTTTCTCTGATGCAGAGAAATTATGTTTTCATGCTTTCCTAATGCAGCGTACAAGAATCAAGAAAATAGCTTGTGCACAAAGCCGTTATTAAAACACTTAATAGAACAATGTGTCTATATTTATCTTATATACTGCTGCGGTAATTTAAAGTACTCATCGTTTAGTAGCTAGTAAACTACCATCTTCATACGTAACCAAAATGTCATGAAATGAACATGACTTTTTGTTGTTACTTAACTCAATGCACTTCAGCAGTGATTATGAGTTGACTTGCACTGCTGTTAAATGTCCATTATATGATAACCGGTGATATAAGCTGGTTGTTAATGCATGTAATTGGAACACAATTAAAACCTAGGGCTTAAAGATGCCACAGGCACTCAGATATTGACGACGCTTCTACACGTAACATATTTGTACTCGAAGTAAACCACCCCAGTCAAATCAATTTGAAATGAAGAGGTTCGAATGTATATTTGGAAAGCTATCTATATGTCGAGAAGCGCTTGATCTAAGAGAGCCAGCAGTTATAGAGGAGGCGTACCCACGTGTGATCTGGAGTGAATGTGGGTTTATTTACCACTATACGAGTTAACAAGGATAATCTCAGACCTAAATGGATGCTTCAGCTGTTGTATGAATAGTAAAAGACTGTAGAAATACTTGTTCGGTGCTCAACTTCATACCATGTCTGTTAAAAAGCTGTTAAAGTTTATTTATCACCCATCTAAGTGACTTCATTGAGCATCTGCTGCCATGGTCAAGAGATAGAACTCAGAGTTGAGTGCTTATGACCTCAATAAAGAGTGGCTAAAGGCATACCGCATGCAGATTATTTATCACTTTTAACGTCTATCACCCACTGACCGTCTTAAAGCTGAATAATTAGAAGGAAACCCTAATGATGTTGATTTTCTTATTGTACAACGTGTAACCCGCGGAGTTTGTGTTGCAACTGAGCTTTAGAAGGTTACCTCTAAGACGCTTATACTCTAGTGAGGCTGCTTAACAGAATAAACTTAAACTGCCCAAACGTCTTGTTTTCACTAGATCGTCTGTATTCAGCCTATTAGTATTTTTTATTCTCAAACCGCGACTTCATATAACATTATGTTGCTTGTAGTTCTCGAAAACCGTTTGCAGGACAAGCTGGTTTACAGCATGTAAGATAGTGTGTAGTGCGCGTTTAAATCGATGTACGAGTGGGCTTCCCTGTTTACCTACTGTAAGTTGTTTTGTAGAGCTGATTCATCCAAAAGTTTGAAATGCCATAGTCTTTTTTGAGTAAGATTTTTTTGTCCCGATTTGTGTGATATTTATAAGTATTATTATAATAATAAGAAATCTTTGGAATGACGTCGAATTCTGGGGAGCCATAATTGAGAGTTTGACAATTGGGAATTCCTCATTTGTAAATGTGCAGTCAAAATACGACGTTCACTGCTAGTATCTCCACTGAGTTGCTATCTCCATGTTTTTGAATTATCGAAAATCTTCAATGAGGTTGAAGAACCGGGCTTCAACGGAGCTGTCACCCCCAATTTGCATGTGTCCCGTGTATATGATTCTGATAAGATTGAAGTCTCCCCGAATCAGGATGCAAGTGTAACCAAGACGAACGGGGCGAAATAATTTGTAGATTGGTGTCGAGTCGCAGTTGACTATAAACACCAATACAAAGGAACGCGTGTCAGGATATCCATAAAATCCCCAGGGAGTGAAATATCACAAAGCAGTTAATGGACCAAATCGAGATATTTTCGTTGGCGATCTCGTGGTATTAAAAGAATACCGAGATCGTGCCAGGATAGAAGCTTGGTTACAGAGTGTAACCGAATTCGCGCGAGGTCACAACCAAAGTGTAAGAAAAATGGATGCTTTTAGGACAGTTAAAAAAAACACGTTAAAACAGTCGCTGGTACAATTGGCTATAATAATAATTGTTTTCAATAAACCAATCGTTTTCTCGTGATAAACGTGAGTCACTACAAATTCCTACAGCATATGATCGTCCTATACACTGTCAGCAGTAGCTTTTCTGAAAATGGTTCTAACTCAACGTCTCAAGGTGCTGGACAATCTTACGGAGTATAAAACAGATTCTATAAGATTAATGGACTCATATGTGTACATTTGGTGTGCCACCAAGCAAGATCGTAGGTACAGGGCAGTTTTTCCGTTAATTCATATTTATTGAAGTTGTGGATCAAAGACATATTGGGTATTGCCAACTTCTAGTCTGTTATTCAAGAGGAGGACCATGTTTATAATGCTCTTTTCAGGTTTGTATTATTATCATTACCTGGTTAACGCAAATTATCCATTTTTCGGTAAACTCACAGAGTTCGTATAACGATTTCAGTTTGAAAAATGTGAGCCTCCATGCCCCGTATGTCTTGACAAGTTTTATGTGAATATACAGGTAACCTACCTCAACAAAGTTTTCCGAGTGTTTAGTCTCTGTTCCTTCTACACTTTTACCTGCATTTGGCAGTCCGCAAGTTTTCTTCAGTACCTAATTCTTGAATAATGTTACCTGTCCAGATGCATGTGGGGCGTACATGGTGAAAAAATTAAGTTTACTGAGAGACATTAACACCGCTGATATTATGAGGTTGATGAGCTTTAGCATATCCTTACAAGATTTGATGAGTGTTCCACCAAGACTAATGTTCTCGAAGACTCTCTTCTTAACATCGCTGGACGTCTTTTCTAACCGTTTCAAGACAATTTTGGGGTCGTTTGCGATCTTTTATTTGACGTGTCAAGAAGATGGTAATGTTCAGTAAATCCTCAGCACCTATGTTGCATGAGTTACATGTTTAGTGACGGTCTGATATACTAAGTCTATTGTTGGCAGCTGCTGTAAGGGTTGCCGTATTTAATGAAACCAACCATTTCACTTGTCACATTCCATCCTCTCGGTGGTAGTAAAGGTGCATCGAAGTCATTTGCAAGTGATCTTAGTGATTCTGGTGAAATAAAAGTTGTTTAACAGATTCTTGCAAAACTTTCCGACTGTAACAAAAAATCAACATTTATGAGATGGACAAAACAAATTAAAACGAGTAGTATAGAAGTTTGGCATATTTGAACCACCTTTGATGTCAAAAGCCACCATGCTTCCATCGAGTAAGGATACAGGAATATATTGAGCAATGAAAATTATGTTCGTAAAGCGCGCGTGCGATTCCGTTAGAAAAACTGTATACACTGCTTCAGTGAGTCTATTAAAATTCATTTGTAACGAAGTAATCATTGTTCTCAAGATGTCATATCATCGATAATTTGATTGGTTGTCACGTTTTAGTCACGTATAACATAAAGTGTCGCGTTACTAGTGTGACCTTTGGTGTAGGCCGTCACCTTTATGAGCTTACCACATATTATAAGAAGGTCGTAGTTCTACAACATTCAAGTTGTAGTCGTTTGTAAGTTCGTTCGAATGTCTGCTACTAGTCGATTTCAATCAGAGAAACTTATCTTGAGACAGTTATTCATTGGTGATCCCCTCCTAATAGACATGGGAGCCTGTTAAGCGAAAGCTTCTATTCTGTCCACAACCTTTTGAAGTGATCTGACTAATATTTATGCGCTACACAGTTTTGTGTATTAATCTGAATTTGCATAATATATATCCAGAGACGCACAAATATGCAAAATATTCTCTTTTACTTTTTATGATCAAATTAGGAGACTCCTGTCTTTCAAATTTCGTAATAAACTCACTAGTCAAGATTATTTCTTGCTATCTTGCGCCTTTCCTTTCTCAAAACACTCGCTATCTAATATACATCTCAATTCGCGTTTTGAGGAATAAGAACATCGTTGCCTTTTTAATCGGGGTTTTAACCTCGTATGCGAATAATACTAGTGTACTTTTTGGCGATGTGCAGACTATTCAAATGTCACTTAATCAGTAAGCAGCTAGCTCAAACGAAATGATATGTAGTTTGTAATATATACGGCTGCATATTTTGTTAGATGTGCTGTTTGTGGTTAATAATGTACTCTTCTCTTCAGAAAATCGAAGTACTTCTGTAAAGCCCTCTATATCTCGTACTATCCGAAGTATTTGGTGGTGAGCAATTTAAAATGGTCTTAAAGGTTATGTACTGGGTGCCTATGTTATGCTTGTAGTAGTTTTAAATAATTAACCTGTGTATGCTAATAATTAGTGACTTATGTCAAGTAGGGTTTTATTTAGTGACACCACTTTGTTGTTGTAGTCGTCTAGGCTGTGGTGTGCAATACATCAATCCAAGCAGTTTCCTCTGATTGTGTCAAATATGTCGTCTTCGAAGGATAGATAGCACCCAGTGGCAACACTACGTGCCCATGTATGGTGATGATGGTCCTCTAAGGGCTGTTACTAGCTCTAATACTCTGGGAGATGCTCCGACAACTTGGACCAGCATGCTTATGTGCTGGATTATACGTGACATCTTACTATAGGGTTGTCATATAAAAAATCTGCATATGCGTCTCAGTAGACCCTTTCGCTTTTCTGTTATAAACTCCCTATTGCTAGTACAGTGTAAAGTGTGACAAGTTGGGCTGATGGAGAAGATTTGTAGCTCAGGTGGATGATTTTGGTGGGGTTTTGTTCTCTGAAGTTTGTGCTGATGATGTCGTTCAGAAGAACGATGAAAGCTCCACGACCAAACCATCCAGCTCAGAGAACAAAACCCCACCAAAAGTTGGGCTGATGCATCATTGATCAATTTCTCACTCTGTTAACAACTGACTACCCTTTAATAGTTTCATAGTTACCTTCATTGTGGAATATCTATATAAAACCTGTTCGTTCAACAAGTCCGGCATTGTTTCAAAGACCTGCTTCCTCTAAAGTAAGGGTTCCCACTTGCGTCTTTATGTTCACCCATGACCGTACCGTAAGTTATGGTAATAAAAATTCAGTATGCTCTTGAGCCTTTTATTGCAACTATCCTTACAGTACTTTACATCCTACTTATCAGTGTTTCTTTCTCTTAAACTATACCCAGCCTAAAAACCTGTCTTTTGTTGTGTCGAAATTATGCCGAAAGTATTCAGACCATCGATAAAACAAATCAAGACACATATAAAAACGTACGTTTTTATTATTACGAAAGCAAGGCTTTTAATAGAAATGAAGTTGAAACTCAAGAAATCAGACCTAATCAGGTGTCCGACTCCAATCCATCCAAGGAGTCATCACCCTGCACTATTACAAGTGAACCAAGGCCAAGGTAACAGAATCCGATAAGTCTTATTTTATCAGTTCACCACTTCCTTCACAGAATACGTGTGAAACTCCTAAAACAGCTACTCAGAGGTAACATTTTTGTAAATACATGTTTATTTTTAGATTGATGAACCCTGACCTAGATGTCCATGTTAATCCTGAAAGGCCTCACCAAGTATCCAAGGAAATAGAAAACCTATTTGTTTCTAAAAAAGTGGTTGTCTAACCTCTAATAATTGGTTTTCAAAATTTATAGCCTCGCAAAACTAAAGTCAAGACAACCGAAGTACTACCTCCTGTAGATCAGCCTCTTGATCGAGCTTCTGTCACTCTTCGCTCCTTACTGCATTGGGTCCCTATAAATAAACCACCTCCGACGTAAGTCCTTTTTATACAATTACTACTAGAAAAGTTATCGACAGGAGCGTCTTAACTCCACTACCTGTTCACTAAGTGGGGACGTGGAAGCAAGTGATAATGACCTCAAATCAAATGACAATAATACTGAAACTCCTGATTTAAATGAAAATTCCCCAAAGTGTCCATCCAGTGATGTTTATTCGGACCCATTAGCTCCTCAACTACGAATCGATGCTAATGGAAATATTGTGTTGGATGAAACCAGTTTATTAGTTGAAAAACGAGAGAATTTCTATACAAAAACTTTACGGCATATTAGTGAAGAAACTGGCATACTCAGTGTTGACTATAGGAGTTTCCGACCTCCTCGTGATGGCCATGGAAGAAAATGGACAGAGCGTGAGACTACACGATTCTACAGAGCATTGAGTACTATTGGGACTGATTTTTACGTGATGGAGAAAATGTTCCCTCGCCGGAAGCGGTCAGAACTTGTTGTAAGTTGTCCATCTCCATTGGGTTTTTTTCCACCAACTTTTGTTCTTCTAGTTTTTCATTTATTTCCTAGTATTCTATTTCCGTGTTATTGTGTTTTTCGAAATTCTTTTCCGTTTTGTGATTATTGTGATAAATAATTGTTCATATATATATTAAACTTTTTAACAATAATTAACTTTGACAAGTACACTTTTGTGTTTGTCAGCCACATACGACATACAAGTTAACTCAGTTCTCCATGTCCTCAAGCTGTCACACTTCGAACCAGTACAGAAAAAGGTCAGTCAGTCCAATACAACATAAAACACGCTTCAATTTGCCGCAGCCCATTTGCATAGCTAAATGAAATAGTCAGGGAAAATTCAAGAATGGTAGACGTTGTAACAATATTAGTGGTAATGTAAAAAATTGGACATCGAAGATGAGATTCGAAAAAGTATAAATTAATGAAATAGAAAAAAAACTACAAAGAACCTAGAAATTTAGGACCGACAAGAGACAAAGAGTGAATAAAGCTAGACTATTGCCTAGATAATCAACCAACAATAGTATCAACGAGGGAGAATTTCAAGAATATAACTTAGAACGAAAGTGTGAGAAAACACTGAGACTCAAGATCCATAAGCACTTGCCCCACTACAACTACTTTCGAACTATATCGCTCTAGGTTTCTAACCCAATGGTCCTAACCAGGACGTTTTCGCCCCCACTTGTTATTTCTCATTCCAACAATCGGTAACTTCAAGAACTTGTACCATTTTCTCACTTGTCAACACATAACATTCTCCCAATATGCTCCCATGTTAGTTGATATTACCTATCCAAGTAGGAAAAGGCATATTGCACGTTACAAATATCCCAGCCATTTCAGTTGAGTAGAGTCCAGAACTTTGTTAACCTAATTTACACTGTACTCTACGCTTTACTTGTGCATTGCTCACCTGCTAGCTTTTTCAAGTGGAACAATGCCTCAAAAATATTCTGGTCAAACACTCAACTATCCTACAAATCCAGTAAAATAATACAAGGTGAACGACTGCGCAGTGCAGTCACTCTTGGATATATATTTAAATATCTCACTTATCCCATATAAGTTTTAAGTTGACAAAGTCGATTATATATCTTGTTTTTATGCTGACGATTCGTTAGCCACTAAATCAGCAGGGGCAATCAGACTTAGGATAAATAAAGTGGTTAGTGCGCTTCATTTATCCACCCAGTGTGATCAGACTATATTTTGGATCAGACCAGTGCTTTACCTTATTCTAAAAGTTTTTTCGTTGTCCCTCAAGGCACTGGAAAGATTGTTCAGTCATCGGTTATTACCTATCTCATTCGTATGCTCTAATTATTATTATCATTTATTATTTGAACACATGAATATTGGTACAAGAGAGCGCCAACATATATGCGCCACACAAAACAATGAGAATTCGAAGAGAAATAGGAAAAAAAGCTAAGGAGCGCAAAAAATAGAGAGCAATAACGAAGAGATTGGTGTAAGGTAGTATGGTAGAAATGAGGGAACGGAAAGGTACAATCAGAATAAATCTTTCAGGTAAGGGAGACACAACCACTTTTTATGAAGAAAGTAAAAGAAGGTTACAGCAGGATCGCCACTGGCTTCTATTCTGAGCCATATTTGGTAATGTCTCTAGCCACTGTGTCGTACCATCTCTCGAACCCAAGCCAAGGAGTCGTGAAGGACCAACACAAGCCAGTCCTTTACAGCTTTTTTTCATACCCCGACACCATGTCATGCACTGACCACCTCTCCGCTTTATCCAACCATTCCCAGAGTCGGCAAATAATGCACGACGTGGAATTCTCTGGGACGACATTCGGAGAACATGTCCAAGCCACCGAAGTCGGTGTTTCAAGATGGTGACACCAATTGAATTGTCATCTCTGTGCCCGAACACACGATGCCGAACCTCTGCGTTACTGACATGGTGTTGCCACTGGATGTCAGCAATCCTTCGGAGACAGCGATGATCGAACACAGAGAGTCGTCTAGCGTCCTCAACTCGGAGAGGCCAGGTTTCATAAGCATAGAGCAAAACTGCTCTCACCGACGCGTTGTAGATCCGACCTTTTACAGCCAGACTAACATCACGAAGGCGCCAAAGGTGGCCCAGATTGGCATAAGCCGCTCTGGCTTTCACTATACGTGCATTGATCTCATCACTCACACCCCCACCAGCACTTATGCAGCTACCCAGATACACGAACTTCTCAACTACGTCTATCTGCTCACCATCCAGGGTGAGTACAGGATTGGAATCCTGCCAGTCTTGTAGAAGTACTTTGCACTTCGAAGGTGCAAAGCACATACCATACCTACGGACACTGATTGCCAACTGATTAAGTGCGGATTGCATGCCTTGGGCATTATCGCACAGTAAGACAATATCGTCCACATACTGAAGGTCGAGAAGTCTTTCTCCAGGCAACAGATCCACACCACCATTACTTACATTCATCAGAGCTGTTTCCAGAATGTCATCGATGGCAAAGTTGAAGAGGAATGGTGAGATTGGGCAACCCTGACTAACCCCACTGCTCGAATGGAACAATGGAGAGAGGTGGTTGTATGCCCTCACTCTGCCTGAGGTGTTTGTATATAGGGCTTTTAGAATGTTAATAAACTTCTCAGGCACATCCTTGTTCAATAGACAATCCCGGAGAACAGTCCTATCCAACGAATCGAAGGCAGCCCTGATGTCAAGAAACACTACGATTGTTGGCCTTTGAAAAGTATGACGGTGTTCTAACATTTGGCGGAGGGTGAAGATATGATCAATACATCCTCGACCAGAACGAAACCCAGCCTGCTCCTCGCGAGTCAATCTTTCTCGGGTTTTGAACAACCTACGAAGTATGACGGAAGCCAATAGCTTGGACGCAATCAGAAGTAGACTTATCCCCCGATAGTTGTTACAGGAACGACGTGAACCCTTTTTAAAGTTAGGGACAACTATCAACTCATTCCATGACGTTGGTACACTCTCTAGTTCCCAAACCTTTGTAAACAACGTCGTCAATTCCTTAGTCAAAAAGTCACCACCATCTTTAAAAAGAGCCGGAGGTAAGTCATCTGGGCCAGGTGATTTGCAACGCTTCAAGAGTTGGAGTTCCTTGCGGACTTCCGCCTCGTTCGGTGGATCAGTCGTCACCGGCCATGGAGGGCAGGACAGTCTGGCCGATGTTGCCGGAGCAGCAGGCCAGTTGAACTGCCCTTCGAAGAATTCTGCCCATCGTCCAAGACGTCGATGGATGTTAGTGATTGGCATCCCATCATCCTCGTAGATTGTTTCGCTCACACCAGACTTCTTGCTGCCAGTGGGTCGGATGAGTTGGAAGAGCTTCCGGTAGTTACCAGATGCAGCTGCTGCTTCCAGCTCATTAGCACGCTTCGACCACCAGGCTTCTCGATCCTTACGCAAGCTTTGCCCAATTTCCTTACATAAAATCCTTCGTTTATGGTCAAACTCACGGTCACCCGGAGTAGACCGACGGGCTTCAATGAGTTGTAAGGAACCAGAAGAAACCCAGTGCTTAAAAGCGGGACGTTTCGCAAACCCACAACTGACTGTTCCCGCTATTTTCATGGCGTCATGCAATCGCAACCAATGCTCATCTATACTTTTCGGTGGAGTGGTAGCTAGCCTAGAGGCTAGCTCGGTTCGATACTTATTTGCAACAGAAGTTGCAACCAGCTTGCTAACATCAGTCCGTTGGTGACGGTCACTTCGCTGGTCACTGAAAAGTAAGGCAAGATTGGCGCAGATCAAGGCATGGTCAGAGTCCAGATAGGTACTCCAAAAGGAGCGGCAGTCTTGTACACAACCACGCCAGCGGTAGCTGATCGCGATGTGATCAATCTGAGTCCAGGCTTGAGATGCAGATGGAGGACGCCAGGTGGCACATCGGCGATGACTGTGCCGAAAGTTAGTGCTAGCCAGAAACAAGTTGTGGTCCATGAATAGTTGCAGTAGACGGTCCCCGTTATCCGTCCTGGGACCAACGAGTCCCCATCGGCCACCTAAACGATTCTCTTCTGTGCCTAGACGCCCGACCTGAGCATTCAAGTCTTCGGCTAATACTACAATATCTCTCGAACGCACTTTCTGGAGAAGAACAGATAACTGGTGGTAAAACTCATCCTTGATTGCATCCGGGCTGCAATCTGTCGTGGCATAGGCGGAGATAACGAAAAGACGTCGTTTCTCACGCCGATTTCTTCTCACTTTGATGGAACTTTCTAATCTAACAGCACATAACCGACTGTTAACGGGGATCCAATCGACTAGTGCTGCCTCAGCTCTAGCGCTTAGTTCGACACCAACGCCAGCAAGACCAGACGAAGATGCCACAGGGTCCCCGGATAAGCGCACGTAAAACAAGCTTTTTGAAGTGACAGATGTAGAGCGAATTCGTAGTACTTCGCTAGAGTCTTGAATACAGGTCTCGGATAGACAGCAGACATCTATATGAAGACTTTCCAAAAACATAGCCAGCCCTATCTGTTGTCCGACCTGCATAAGTGTGCGAACGTTGAAGGCAGCCAGTTTGAATGGTGCACGTGGTTTCAGAAAAACTGCTTCAGTACTCATATTCGGTGGTAACATACAATTTTCAACCGGACAGTGACTCGAGAACGTTTAGATACAGTCGAATTTCCACCAAAGACGAGCCGCTGTATAAGTATAAAAGAGGGTGAATAATGTGGAAAATAATAATAATAATAATGACAATAATGGTAATAATAATAATAATAGTATTAATAATGACAATAATTGTAATGATAATAATTTGAACCAATTGATTGTTTTTTGAAGCGAGAAAAGTAATTTCCATAGACATAGAGAGTTCATCATTTGTGTGTGGGCTGTGATACTGCCCGGGTGCCCAAACCGAAGCAGGTGGTTATCTTAGGGGGCCACTCCCCGTGCCTTTGACCTAAAGGTCTAACCCACAAGGCAGTGGAGCATCGTAAGGAGATGCAATCCCATGGTAGCCGGTGACCAACGATTGGTTCATACGCCATTTGTTCCCGCAGGATACTGGAGCCCATGTGCACCATTGGTTTGTGATCCGGTTAAAGCGCCGGACATTCGCTTTTCGTCCTCTCATTTTCGTAAACAACACCCCCGCCACGAGGAGGCAATGAGTAGGACTTCCCTGGCAGAGGCTGTATACGCGCGGCCGTATGCTCTATATCAGTGGCAGAAGCAGTAGTTCTTAAATCATTCGTTTTGCGAAAACAATATATACTTATCGGTTGCCTAAATCTACGTGTAAGTAACTGAGTTAAAACCATTAATTCCAAATTAAATCATTCACCTCATTTTTGAAAATTTCTTGACTTACATTTTAATGTAATAAGCTTTTATTATGGTCTTTAGATATAACCTTCTGATAAATTATATTGATTCTTCCGACCTTTAAAACTAAACCAGGATGATTTATAATCGTAGTGATATTTTTATGCTGATTATTTCTTAATGATCAGGATATTTTTACCAAGTTCACTAACCTAGCACTGAACTATAGCTGATCAGCAGTGGATCAAAACAGCGGATTGTTTTCAGTGTTTACTGAAGCAAATGAGGTCACTGAATATATCGAGATAGCAAACTACATTTCTTGTAATTGAATATTGCCCTTCATTTTTAAAGTCTTCGAAATACCACAGCTTCCACTTTCATTTTTTCTTTCGAAAGATATTGCTTATTATTGCTGTTCACTGCTTCAATTCATTTTTTTCAATATTATTGTGTACAGTAGTGGTTCTTGTCACACCAAAAGTTGTGGTAACTTTCTGAAACTTCAAGAATAGTGCGTCCAAACTATATTCTACAGTTTTTATAACTTCATGTTGATTTTATATCAAGCATTCAAAAGTTCCTCTTTTTTGAATCTACCTTTTTTCAAAGAGTAAATTTAAACGAGAAGAAAAACGCAACCCTTATCTGGTCAACCAAGCATTACGTAAGTTAAAATCATATCAGAAGTCATTTTCATGCTTACAGGAAACCGTCGTACTTACGATCTTATTAATCTGTTCCCGTCAAGTGATGAAGAAGAAAATGCGAGACCCGATAAATCTTCAAAAAGTAGTAGGAAAAAATGTAAGTTTACTTTTTGTCTCATTAAGACTGTTTATTCCACATATTGTTACTGAGTTTTTTCGTAAAGTAAGGCTACCATTTTGCCGTTTACTTCACGAACTGTTAGCTACACCACGTTATCATGGTGTAGGAATTAACGATTTAATCAAGATTTCTAATCACTTGTAGGTTAGTTATTCGCTATTTCAAAACTTTGTTTAGTTAGTAAAACAATTTCCATATACTTCCAAAAACAATCATGTATACTTTGAGGAAGTAAGACTTTACAGTTTACTTATGAATAACTTGTCTGCATGTGCTTATGACATTCGTATTGTTGATATGTATATATATATAGTCCCTGTTTCGAATAGCGTTCAAATGACTTTTGTGTGTCTAGATTTGACATTTAGTTTATTGACTGAGTATTCTATGTAACTCGGTTTAATTTCTTAATGTTTATTAGTTTTACTCCCATAGTTATGTTCTACGTGACTTGTGTTCTTAATTCGTCTAGGAGATATGTCTAATCTCATTGAAATAAATGCTACATTATAGTAAGATAGTAAAGTGTCACTTCTTAAACCTACTTTTCTTGTAATTCAACCTGTTTATCTTACATATCATTAAGGCAAATAAACGTAAGTTTGTGGCTTGTAATACATATGGTTTGGAATTAAAAGTGAGATTCTTCAGTCTTAATAACCGGACTCAGGTTTCCAACGTTGTTTGTATCTTACAAAAATCTCGTTTATTTTTTCGCAGCATATCATAAATTCGTTCTTATTTTCTTGAAAACCAAGTTTTCTCTGTGTGTACAAAGTTGTTTGATTTTAACATAACAAAATGGACTACTATATTTTGTATATTTGTTCCGGTTATGTAAAAGATGAAATAAGTAGATGGTTTTAGTTCTAAGTTTCCAGCTTTTATATATGAACTGAATTTGCTAATTTCGGTCAAAATATAGTAACAAATCATTATCCTATCTGATTTTATAAAACAAATAAAACTGGCTACAAAATAATCAATCACTATCCCTCCCGTTTATTTTTGTCAAAGATAATCTATTGGTCAGTTAATTCCACATGCTTAAAATAAGTATTATGTTCATATTTCTAATTTCTATCAATTTGTACATTTTTTTATATTCTCTTTCATTGTTTACGAAGACTCTATAGGCGTAAATTTACATGGTCTATAAAAAACTTTATAATAACGTGAATTACAAACTAGTAATTTAATCACATCGTTTGATTTTCTATTTTTACAAAGGTTTATAATTTAGAGTCTCATTAGATCTGTTTAAGCGTTTTCAAAACTTTGATAAATATTTGTACATATTTCATAAAAATAGGTTACCAATCTGTGAACAGTCCTTTAAAAGTTAAATAATTTTGCTCGTAACCATTGATTTGCATTTTAGAACCCACCTCACATTCTTTGGTCTGTTCAACTTGGTAATATCACTAGCCTTCACACAAAAGTTTTAGTTCGAAGCCGAATATATGAGCTTGTATCTAGTTACGTAGTTTGCAAAGTCTGGTTAAGTGATTGATTCGTAGTTTAAAGCAATTTTTGTTAGCCGCAATGAACTAGGTGAAACATTTTTCAATACTGATTAATAATTACTTATTAAACAAGAATAAACTTATTTCCACTTTATGCAAACTAAAAGCATTCATGTCAGGTTCACTGAGTGTTTACATTGAAATCTAGAACATCAATCCTCAGTAAATTATGCCAGTTCTATGTAGAAATAAACATTATCAACATCACTCGATTCCATAAAATGTCTTTTGGAAAGTCTTTTCCAACAGTAATCTTGTAAAGTAGACAGTTTAACTACAAGTAAACTTATTGTTTCCCAGTTTCTATTGTTCACTTTTTCATTAACCTCTCTTAAAAATAAAACAGCTAGATGTGATCAAGACTCAATCGAATGTAACGAACAGTCATGTAATCAAAATCTTGATGCAACAAGTAAACCAAAATCGCGAAGAAAAAGCCTGCTTCGTAGAGATCCAGATTTTGAGCGTCACCTTTCAGAAACAATCGACTGTGTTTTATCTCAATTTACGAATTCCGATGCTGGCAACCGCAAGTGCCAGTTGACTCAACGTACTGGTAGTGACCAGCAGTGTAAACAAAATACTAATCACCGGTATGAGTTTAGGCATTCCTCGCGCAGTATCCCATCTTTACAACAAATGATTTCAATAAAGGAAGCAGAGCTTGCAGCGTCTGAAAAAGATAACCTTGAGACTGTTATGGATTCTCCTCAAACTTCTACAACTTCAGAAGGCAACCCTGTAGATACCTCAAAAGAAAATGTTTCTAAACCTCCCAAGTCCTACTATCGCCCGAAAATTGATCTTTTCAAACTCAGTGAAACCATTTTGGGTGAATCATGATTTTTCTACTTCTGTATATTTATGTACATAAAATATATTCCCAGTTGTTTGCTGCTTTTATATTGACTTTTTATAAGTCAGTGATAGTTATGTCTTGTCTAGGCTAGCTAGTTAGATTAGACGCCGACTTAAAAGCATATAAACACATTGGTTTTCTCTTATTAAACTTAGGCTTGAACATATGATAACGTACACTTTGGCGTATATGCTGTCATGAAATTACTAAAACACGTTATGATCAGTATTTTGAACATCTTCCAGCACTTTCTAGTGAGATTGCTAGAATTTGATCCGAAATATGCCAACATCCTGACTGTTTCATTTATTGTAAATGACTGGCGTTTCTAGAAGGAAACTATATCTACATCCCTGTGTTTATTTCTAATCATGTAGTGTTATATACTATTGATTTCTTTGCATCTTTGATTCGAAGTCAGGTACATTAAAAGAATGAAGCTTTTTGCTGCACGTAATACTCTAAGTGTTATGAGGTTTAAAATTGATATTAGCTTCTCATGGTGTAGATGCAGGTTTGTTTAGTCACTCATGTTTTCGTTTAACGTTGATCCGACCCCGTATATGTATTAGTCGGAAATATCTTCAGTTTCAAGTAACCCTAAGACTGCAGAACCAATAATTTCGTAGATCAGAATGGAGGTAAAAATCAGGAAATTTCCTAATTCGAATAGGAAAATGCCGAAGATTGATTGATTTTTCGTCTACAATGTTCACAAACAAGTCGACGATATACAAAGTCCATTGCACTAACCGCTCCATGAGCCACATTATTTCGAATCCAAAGGATGCCACATTGTGAGCGGCCTTTGTACAAGTAACAAGTTGGAAATTATAGCCCTCTGTAAATCTGTGCGGTTATGGGGGTGTACATCGTCTAATGGTACAAAAGTGTTCAACAAAGAATAATAGTTCTAAAGATTTTCTATTCAAGTAATAAGTCCTCATTGGGATCAGTGCATTATAAGTAGATTGCTCTGATATATTCAATCACAATTCTTACTAACTTTGATTATGGGCTTGGGTGGAATTCAGGACTCATATTTCGTCTTATTCGAAATATACTGACAACGATATAATACAATCTCTCAAACAGGTCAATTATCAAAACTTGGTTCAGTGCATAATGCGTTGTGAGGCAATAGACATGTTTTTTAGAAATCATCATTGAAATGTAGACTTATTCAGCTGACGATCCCAAAATGTTCTCACAACAAGCCACAATTCTGTCTTACGGAGGATCACATATTTCAACGACCTTATAACATCCTGCAAAAACTCGGTAAGTGAAAATTAGGTTGGATGTAACCACCGTTAAACATCACGTTTCATACAATTTAGGATAATCGACTTAGAAATATAATTCTTGTAGAAACATACACTTGAACTTTCACACCAGACGCATCGTAACTGAAAAAAAGTACCTCGTCAACACTCATGATTCTAAGAAAATAGGAAAAGCTTTATTTCAGAATGTCGAAATGAAGACAGAATAGGTAGTCTATAAATTAGCAATGGTACAAAGACCCTGAAAAATATTTTTTGGTTAAGCAAGTGATGTCTAAAGAAATCCGTTCGTGTGTTTACGTATTTATCAATAAATTTACCAGGTTGTATTCGGCGTAGCAAAATAGTCTTAGGTGCTTTATTCAGGGTCCAGTAGTTCTGTTTGGCCTCTGATGCTAGTCAAAGACCCTGAAATATAGTCGCGTCCTTAAGTGATACTTTCTATTGGCATACGACGACATGCTATATTTCCGCATGGAAATCCGTAGCATTTGCACTAAGTGGTGATCCCTTTGTAGTTGGTTGCGCGCATGTTATAAGTTTCAAATATAATACGTCCAGGTGTAATCACCTAGTTCTATCTGGCTTAAACTGCATTATTTCGAGAATTCTTAGTACATCAATCCGGACACTTCTAATTATCATAGTGGCATCGCAAAGGAGCCTGTGGTTGGACAGTTGGATATACATTCAAATTCCAAAGCTACCGAGGAAAGGAAGGTTTGAAGTCTGGAGTATGATTAGGAGGAATATTAAGGATGATAAAATTGTGGCTCATTTCCTTACATTCATTGGATACGATGCCTATAGTGTACTAAATGTTCGTCATTTTTAGATAAACCTATTTCACTTTCCTTACTCAAAGAACAACTAAATCACGCGAAATGTACAAACTTCGAATGTCGTGATTGGGCGAAATATCATAAGATGACTTGTCAGAATAACCAGAAGGTTAAAGTTTATCCTTGAATTTCAGAAACAAACTATCGAGTGTAATTTTGGTGTTCAACATCATGTACTACTGCGTGATCGATTAATTGAAAGGATTAATGAGCTGAATCTGGAGATAGAATTCATAGAATTGACGAAGTATTCTCTGAAATAATATAACGAAATAGAACTAATCCCAACAGCCCTAGAACGTCAACCAGACACAATGACGAACTCAAATTCGAACTACGCAGTATGAGGTTGTAATGTATTATTATGACAGATTTAGACATCACGTAAAATATTTGACTACAGCAAGTGCATCGTTCACTCATCACGCTGTAGCGGTAAATAAATCTCCAAAATAAGTAGCTCTAAGTTTTCGACATTGGATGCTGACCATATGTTTTAGTGGACTCATCTAGCTGAAGGCGCTCGGTCAGGCATCTGCACCAGATCACGTGTGGTAACGCCGTGCTCAACATCAACCGCAATCGCTAGCCAGATTAGATCAGAGAATTCCGATATATTGGTCATCGCCAAATACACTCTTCCGATCTCCTCGACTCTGTCTTTTGATTTCTCTGGGTGGGAACGAAATACATTAGAAGGTGTTACTGGTAAAAGCGTTGTCAAACACTGAATACCTGTGACATCATCATTGGTGAGACCGACGTGATCTGGTACACCTAATTGCAACTGTGAGTCTGTTCCTTTTTGGGATTTTTATTTATCATTGCCTTATTTTTTTATTTTTTTAAACATTGTGATTTTTTCTGAAATTTTTCTTGGATATATATATATTTTCCCCTCGTTCATTATCGTACTTCATATTTCATCATGACTGAACAGACACTTAAAGTACTCAAGCTTAAGACCTTGTCCTCACCTTCGTTTCAACTGATGCCTTTCTGGCCCGACAACATCGAAGCCTGGTTTTGCTACGTAGAAGCCGACTTCTCCGAGCACGGCGTGATCGACACACGTGCACAATTCCTCGCAGTAGTCAAGACACTACCGCGCGAATTCAACAGGTACGTAACGCCTAGTATGTTTACTAGTGATGTTTCCGATCCTTACGAAATCTTAAAACGCTCGATTCTTAAACGAGGAGACCTAACCGATCGACAAAGGTTTGATCAACTCTTCAATAACATCGACGTGCAACACGGTTCTGCCACAGACATGTTGCAACGGATGAGAGAGGTTATAGGCCCAAGAACTTTCGACGAAGGTCTATTCAAACAACTCTTCTTGTCAAAACTTCCCCAACAGGTGCAAGCAGTTCTGGTCTCGTTCCAGAACAACGCCTTAGACGAGCTAGCTGCATCTGCCAACCGCATTCCAAGCCGGCACTCGTTAACGGCAACCGCAGCCGGCGAACATAGCCGTCTATTATAAGTCACAGATCTGACAACGAGAGTTCGCTACCTCGTCGATACTGGCGCAGAAATTAGCGTTCTCCCAGCGAATCCCAACGATCGGCTTCAAGAATCGGCTCTAAACCTACAGGCGGCAAACGGAAAACCGATCGCTACGTATGGCAAAAAGTACGTTTTTCTTAACGTGGGTTTACGCAAACCCATCCACTGGATTTTCGTTGTTGCAGATGTTTCTATACCAATCATTGGTATGGACCTTCTACAACACCACAATCTGATCATCGACACTCGCAAACGGAGGCTAATAGACGGAAACACTAATTTGTCCGTTTGCGTAACTTCTTTTACTGGTTGTAGAGTATCCCCAGTCACAGTTAAACATATGATAGACCCACTCTATCAACCACTACTCGATAAGTACCCTGGGATACAACAAACTCAACCGAAACTACCGTGTGTAACCAGCAATGTTACACATCACATCACGACTACAGGACCACCTGTATTCTCTAAACACGACGAATAGCTCCTGAAAAGCTAAGGTTAGCGAAAAACGAATTCGATCACATGATGGACTACGACCGTCAAGTAGCCCATATGCATCTCCGTTGCACATGGTCCCTAAAAAGGACAGCAACGATTGGCGTCCAACTGGTGACTATCGGTGATTGAACGCGAAAACCATTCCCGATCGTTACCCGTTGCCTCACATTCACGATTTGACAGCTACCTTGAAAGGTACAACTGTCTTTTCGAAAATCGACTTGGTTAAAGCGTATAACCAAATCCCTATGGCTACTGACGACATACCGAAAACAGCTATCATAACTCCCTTCGGACTCTACAAATAGTTGCGAATGCCTTACGGTCTAAGGAACGCTGCCCAAACATTCCAAAGATTTATAGACGACGTTTTTCGAGGTCTCAACTTCGTACATGCGTATGTTGATGACTGCCTAATCGCAAGTCCGGACAGAGAAACACATCTCAAGCATCTGGATCTTGTTTTCGAACGACTACAAAAACATGGCATTACTGTAAACGTTCAGAAATGCCAATTCGGAACCAACTCATTAGACTTTCCGGGACACACTATCAATGCTCAAGGTATCCGACCCCTTAGAACCAAAGTGGCGGCCATGCTGGATTACCCAGAACCGACCACCGTCAAGCAATTACGCACGTTTAACGGCCTGGTAAGTTTCTATAGACGTTTCATACTGAAATGCGCATTACTTATGAAACCTCTGACCGACCAACTTCGTGGAAATGCGAAATCCATTTATTTGGACGACACCGCACGAAAAGCATTCTCCACAGTTAAGGAACTGATTGCTAAAGCAACAATGCTCGCACATCAGGACACCGAAACACCCATTAGTATCGCAGTGGACTCATCCGACCAGGCACCCGGTGGCGTCTTACAACAATCGGTTAACAACTC